GTATGTACCTCTACAATTGAAACTGGAGCTGCCTCGGGAATTAAAATGCTAACTATATCTCATAGCGCTGTCTTTGTCCAGGGCCGCCACGCGTTCAAGAGTAATGGCCAGGGCGCACACTTGGGCGTCAAGGCATATGCCTTCATGTGGACCGCATCTGTCTGCCAGTTCCTTTCTTGCTTGATGTACTGCCTTGGCGGTGCTGTCGGCCGGAAAGATACTAGCAGCGGGTACAGTGGACGCAAGGAGCGCCGCCGTGGTTTCTTCACCTCGCAGCGCTCAAATAGCGTGAAAAGTCAGAAGAAGGAGGGCACAAACTACGCCTAAGATCGTTCATCTCTAGCCATGAGAAGCCTATTTCCTCATCTCGACAAGAACAAGCCGGAGCACCTGAACATGTTGACTTGAAAATGTCGATTTCCGGGCTATTCCACACACGACTTTGTCTTCCTGCGTTGATATCCCCTTAGAGAGTTTATTCTTTCTTCAGGAGGCCGCCTGTTTCACTTTGATCTCGACAATCTGCATCTGAATAGACCCGGATGCAGCCTGAAGGATCGAGCTACGCACACTCGCTTGATGCTATCACGAATCCCTCACGATCTTTACTCATCTAATCAATCTACGGCCTTCTTGCGTAAGATGGCAATTGAGCAATCTTCGCGCAGTGATCTCTATGCCTTAGGTTGGGTTCTGTTTTGGCGGTACGCGAGTCTTTGATGATTTTTTGATGAATCGCATGGTTCAATGATTCTCCGATTTGAAAATCACGCAAGAGTTTGTGCTTCCAGTTGCGAACCTATCTAATCTAGTTGTAATATAATTTCTACTATTGTTGCCTGATCCTTGGAACGTAAATTGTATCTTGAAATCATGGGTAGTGACAATTTGGAGCAAAAACAGAATTCTCTATGAGTAATCCTAGATTGATACGCCATGAAATTGATGGGGCCTAGTAGAGTGAAGTTGGCTGGAGAAGAAAACCAGCATCGATTGGTTGCATTTGACTGAGTCTATTTAAGAACTGATAAAAGGGACATGACGATAACTGCAGTATAAATCGTGGACATAAAGAAAAATCACAACCTCTATCAGTCATGCATGCATCATCACACCATAAACGAAATCCAAGTTTTTTTATTTTTATTTCACAAGGGAAAGAAAAATTTATGCAGAGCCGTTGACGGCGCCACGGACAGCGTTCTGGGAGCCGACCTCGCGGACGGCGATCTGCAAACCAAGATCGGGGTTGACGTGGACCATGACCTCGATCTTGCTGCCAGCCTTGACGCCCTTGACGGCGAGCTCAGCGACAAGCTTCTCGGTCTTCCAGACAATCTCGCGGGTCTCCTCTTCCTCCTCATCCTCGGAATCGAAGTCAGAGTCGTCCTCGTCCTGGGCAGGCTTGTCCTCCTTGGCCTTGGGCTCAGGCTTGGTGACCTTGATCTCGCGGGCACCCTCGCACACGCGAACCAGAACATCACCACCCTCCTTGGGGGCGAAGTACTGAGCGATGCGGCGGGCGGGGAGAGCGGTCTCGGCGCCGAGGAGGGGCTGGAAGGTGGCCTCGGTCTGGGAGGTGAACTCAACGCCAATGGCCTTGGTCAGGTGAGGGGTGACGGTGACCATAGGGTGGATGGACTGCTCAATGTCCTCGTGCTCGAACTCCTGGATCAGGGAGGCCTGGAAAGCAGCACCACGGGCAGACAACTCGGAGGGGTTAATAGCAGTGACAGAGGTGGCAGGAGCTAGGATCTTGGTCTTCTCAGAGAAAATGTTGCTGGTCAGGCTGGCGAGCTTGGGGGTGTGGGAAACACCACCAGAGAAGATAACCTCATCGATATCGAGAACATCGAGCTCGGCCTTCTTGACAACCTGCTGGATCAGATCAGTGAACTGGCTGAAGACCTTGCCGGCGAGAAGCTCGAAGCGGGTGCGGTTAATAGTGGAACCATAATCAACACCGTCGACCAGAGACTCAATGCTCAGCTGGGCGTTGCTGCTCAGGCTGAGGGCCTTGCGGGTGGCCTCACACTCGAGCTTCAACTTGGCCAGACCACGAGCGTTCTCGCGGGGGTCGGTCTTGTGCTTCTTCATGAACTCCTTGGCGAAGTGATCAATGATGATCTTATCCAGGGAGGCACCGCCAAGCTCGTAGTCGTGGGCAGTGGCCAAGATAGTGTACATGCCACCGCGGGAGGCAACAACGGCAACATCGGAGCGGGTGCCACCGAAGTCGGCAACGACAACCAGCTTGTCGGCAACATTCGCCTCGGGGCGGGCGTCGTAAGCCATGACAGCGGCAACGGGCTCGTGGATCAACTGAAGAACGTCGATACCAGCAGCCTTGGCGGAGGCAACAAGGGCCTCACGCTGAGCATCGGTGAAATTGGTGGGGATGGTGATGACGGCGGCGTTAACATCCTTACCGAGATAGTCAGAGGCGGAGCGTCTCAGACGCTTGAAGTGACGGGTGGTAATCTCGGAAACAGTGACGGTGTTGGGGGTCTCGCTCTCGGTGTCGCGGATGGTGAATGCGACAGTCGAGTCCTGCTGCTGGGGGTGGGCCGATTGGTGGCAGGGAGTAGGGTCGATCGACTTGAATTCCTTGCCGACGAAATCGCGGAAGTATGCAACAGTGTTGGCTGAGTTGCGAACAAGCTGGGCCTTGGCTTGTGTGCCGTGGTACTCCTCGCCGTCAATGTAAGAAAGGATGGAAGGAATTTGACGATCTGAGTACATGTGTTAATTCAAGTTCTCAAATCGTGGGGCTTCATTGTCCTCACCTCCTTCCTCGTTGGCAATAACCTCAGCCTTGCCCTCCTAAAATTTTGGTCAGTCACCGTTCTTTGACCCAAAGAATCATTATCAGGACGTACAGGCGAGATTCGGGCAATTGAACTGCATGAGTTACCAAACGAGATACCGATAGCAAAGCGCTCCGCCTCAGCGGGGGCACTGTTGGCAGCGTCACCCATGTTGAAATTGGAAATGTGTACTTTTTTGGATTAAAAGAATAAGGATCTCACGTCACAACGTGAACGTAGTTTCGGGGGTATCGGAGTGGAAATCTCGATTGAGGGGGAATGACCGAAAAAGATTTTGAAGATTTTTGTCTACCGCAAATGTGGCTGGTGCTTATCGATAGTGGTTGTGGCGTTGTAGATAAGGCACCGCCACCCTTGAAATCTTCATGTGCGGACAGTTTTCCATGATGAAGATAGCTCTGGCCTTGAGAATGGGTGAGTACAAGTGGCCACATTTAACTGGCAGCTGAGAGCCCTCAAGTTGTTCATATTGCCAAGGTCGGTCCAAGTGAAATGTCAGGAAGAAGCTCAGCCAAGGACATGCAATGAGATCACGTGGCGATAAGAATTGTCGTTTTCTTTTGCAGAATCAATGCGCCAAAGCATGCAGCATTAAGCCTCTTACCTTGAAGTCTTCTACATTCATTCTATCCTCGGAATACAGTCTACCCAGTCTGGCATCATGGGTGTCCCGCTTGTTCTATTACCTAGCGACGAGGTACCTCAAGACCATCTTCCTATCAACAACTCCAACCCTCTACGACTAGGCCCCGGCCTCCGCATCCTATCACAGCCCTCTTCAAAGGGGTCCAATCATGTCTTAACAGCAACACAAGCTGGTCTGTTGACGACTGATGCGAAACGAAACACCGTATCGCTTCTTTCTTTCCCGAACCGCCGATACATTCCCACAGTCAACGACTTCGTCATTGCTCAGATCCACCACTCCAGTGTTGATTTCTTCCACTGCATGGTAACCCCACACACGGCTCACGCGCTTTTAGGCCAGCTGTCCTTTGAGGGCGCATCCAAGAAGACAAGGCCGATGTTAAAGCAAGGCGAGCTAGTGTATGCCCGGGTACAATCCGTGGGAGTCGGCGCCGGCGCCGAAGTTGAAATTACCTGTGTCAACCCGGCAACTGGCAAGGCTGATGGAGGATTGGGACCCTTGACAGGTGGAATGGTATTTGATGTTTCGACTGGTATGGCGGCCCGGTTGATTCGGGCAAGCTCCTCCTCTGCTGAGAACACAGATGCAATTGAAGGGTTGGCTGTTCTTTCTGAACTTGGAAAGAAATTGGAGAGCTTGGGAGGATTTGAGATTGCAGTTGGCCGCAATGGGAAGGTGTGGGTGGACTGCTCTAACGCCGCAGAAAGTGCTGTCAAGGCTACTATCGCAATTGGGCGCTGTCTACAGGAGACAGATCAGCACAATCTTCACACCCATGACCAAAAGAAACTAGTGACGAAAATTCTTAGGGATATGAAGCTTGTGTCGTGACTGTGTCTGTAGGACCTGGAGTATGGGGTTTACAACTTGCAGTTAATTTTTATGTTCTTTATGCCAGCATGTACACTATTAATGCAATCATGAGCATGATACCTGCCAGCACTGTGGTTAGCAATTGCAGTAAATATAGAACGCCTGACTATGTACAACACACATTTGTTACACGGTATATAGTTGATGTATGCGTTCCTATGTGGTAAATTTGTTCAACGGACATTGTGTTGGAAGTCTACAACAAATCAGATTTGCTTCTTTGGAATAAGTTTTCTTGGTGCCTTGAATGATTTTCATCCACTCAGTATGGATCTAATTATTTGTATCATACTCCATCTCTTTTCTACAATGATAATGACATAGATCATCTACAATAGCCTATTGACATCGATTGGCCCCGCATAGGCGGTCAGTGCGGGCCTACAGGCGGTGAACTTCAATTGCCGGATTGGATGCTTCGTGGGCCGTAAATTTTGAAGAGCCTCGCCTCTCCTTCTCTGCCCCATCGCCTGCTCTTTCCCCCCCTACTCGTTGTCGCGGATTATTGCTATGGGAAATACATCGTCTCAGCCTGAACCTTTCCCCGAAATTCCTGAGGATTTTGGAGATATCGGTTGGTGAAAATACTTGATTTCGCGCAGCTTCGTACTAACATCTCACTGACAGTTCCCGAAACTCCGAATTCTTCTATGGTTGATGGGAGGAAACACAAGAAAAAGAAACATCTCTCTTCAGCAACCAAGGTTTCATCGCCAGCAATTGCGGAAGCCAATGGGACAAAGCGCTTTGCAGAATTAGACTCCAACATGTCGAATCCTTCAAAGCGTAAGCGCGAGTCTGAACCCGAGCGCAAGCGAAAGTCCAAGAAGCATCGCAAATCAGAAAAGTTCGTTGCCGAGTCAGCTTCGCCAGAAAACAACGCATCACCTTCTGCGAGTGCTATTCAAATTCCTCCCACTCCCAGTCAACCCACTTCGTCAAAGATTAAGCCCAAGTCCAAGTCCTCAACGAAGAAGGTCCGCAAGCAGAATGGCGAAGACTTGACAACCCCCGTTTCGTCCATTCCTGAATCCACACCCGAGTTGACAGCTGCAGAAGAACCGCTTGCTGTAAAGCAGCTAGCTGCCACAAAGCAACCCCAAGCGCTTGACTCGCCCAATCCTGAGGGCAGCACCACACCAGGATTCAGGGCCAAGAGAGTTAGAGGCTCACGCACTAGGGAGAAGGACAACTTGAAAATTGGATTTTACACGCCGGATGAAGTGCGAAAAATCGAAGCGTACAAACTTAATTTCTGCACCATGCACGGCATTGCTAGCGCCAAATTCGACGAGATGGTTCAGCATTCTGAGCGTGGCGCAAACGGCGAATTCCCACTATCCTCAGATATCATCTCGAAAAGCAACTTTTGGAACGAGATCTACGCACTGGTTCCAGACCGTGATCGACGATCTGTGTACCGATTCATGCGCCGACACTTCCAAACTTCAGCTCAAAAAGCGCACGATTGGTCAAAGGAACAAGAAGATGAGCTTATTGAGCTCCACACCAAATATGGACCAAAATGGACTTTCATTGGTAAGCTCATTGGACGCAGTGATGACGATGTTACTCAGCGCTGGAAGAACAAGCTCGAGCACCAGGGCACAATGAATCAAGGCGCATGGTTGGAGGAGGAAACCAGGCTTTTCCTTTCTGTTGTAGAATCAACGTGGCTCACTATGAAGCCACTGCTTGCTGATAATTCAGGCAAGGACATGTACGAGCTTGATGAGCGCCTCATTGTGTGGGGTAATGTCAGCAAGGAGATGGGTTACATGCGGTCTCGACAACAATGCGCAGACAAGTGGCGCAAGATTGTGAAGCAGGTCATGATGATGCGGGCCAATGGCCACCCAGGCGCGGTGTTTGATCCCAAACTCGCTGCCAAGAAAAGCGCCATCTGGAACCGGAGACTGGAGGCGCAAAGGAAGAGTTCTCAATTTGTGAATGAGGATTCTGATGAAGATGAAACTACGAAGACTACCAATCCGAAACTAAAGCTCAGTGGGGAGGTAGCACCATCCACCATCGCCAATGCCAATTTCGAATCCGACGAGGGTGAACTTGAGCTGCCCGAGCCTTCTAAAAAGGCTAAGAAGTCCAAGTCCAAGCGCAAGCACAACGAAAATCCCGCCTCTGGCCCCATCAAGGAAGCCCCATTGTCTCCCGCCACTCCTAAAAAGAGTAAGGAAGAGAGGAAGCGCGAGAAGATGGAGCGACGAAAGAAGGGGGAACAAGAGAACATTGAGCAAGAAGCCCAGGAAGACAAGGCTGCACGCAAGGACCGGAAGCGGAAGAGGAAGGAGGAGAAGAAGAAGAAGAAGAAGAAGCAAAAGAGACTAGAAGAAGAGGAACGTCTTGCTGCCGAGGCGGCCAACAAGGCACCTAGCAGCGACGCCGAGGCCCCCGAGCCCCCTAAAAGGAAGAAGTCCAAAAAGCAGAAGCAATCTTCTAGTGATAGCCCTGCCCCTTTGGATGAACTCTCTCATCCTATGGTCGAATCATCCCTACCCACCGCATCACCTGCTTCCCGTCAATCTGGCATTGAACAGGATGCCGTCGTTGATGAGACTGACTTGGACGGCGGAGATAACGACAGCAGCGAAGTTAACGTGAAGTACGAGACTGACTCGGATGAGCTGTGAAACTTGATGAAATGATGTGTTTGCCTTTGATATTGCTTGCTTCCCATCTTTCATTATACCCTTGCTTGCTAAGATTTCCATTCTTGAGAGCGAGCAGTAGTAAAAAATTCCAATGAATTACAAAGGAGATTCACCATTAAAATGTCAATCCAATGAATGCAATCGCTTTCTCTAATAAAACCCAACGGGTCAACTATAATTCATCTTTGCGGTCTTCGCCAGTCTGCACAAACTCAACCCCAGCGGCAGCCTGCTCGCTAGCAATGCGACTCGCCAAGGCCGCGATCTCATCATCATAGACCGTCCACTCAGGAACTTGCCTCCTAGCCCTATCTAGCTTAGGCTCCTTGGTAAGAGGGTTATTACAAAGGTCAATGGTCTTTGCGACATCCAAATCTTCATCGGAACACCAAGTCTCACACCAAAGCCACTCCTTCGGCAGACTATGGATGGGAATGTGGTGTTGCATATGGTTAGGCAGATCCTGGTCAAGGTTGCTTAGACTGTTCGGATCCGACGAGAGCATCTGGTATTGGCCGCGCAGACGGTCGCCGGCAGCAAGCGCGCGGAAGCGGTTCAAGTCGACGACATACAGCGCCGAGATGTGGTAGGGCTTGCCGCGGAGGAAGGTGGACCAGTAGCCCTGTTTCCAGAATCGGAAGCCTTCCATTTCGGTTCGAGAGTCGCCCATGGGTGTGAAGCCATACGGCGCACCTTGAAGGTCGTGAGTGACTAGCTCATGCATGTCTGTGCGGACGATCTGATCCGCGTCGACGAAGATGACTTTTTCCAGGGAGAGGGGGAAGAGCACATCCAGGAAGAGCATCTTGTAACCCCAGATCTCGCGTTGCTTTTCCTTCTGGGCGCGCAGCCAGTGCGGCCATTTGTATGTTACCATCTCGTAGGAGAAACCGTATTCGCGGGCGAGGGAAGGGAGGAAGGCGCGGAAGGAGGGTGAGAGGAATTGTTCGATGAACCAAAATTTGACGGTGTGTTTGGTGTGTCGCATCACCGAGACCATCATTATGTTCAACATGCGCTCGTAGAGGTGTCCGCTTGCTACTGAGAATATGTTGATGTCGGCGTGCTGTTCGCCTCCGCTCTTGGACCCGACACCAACACTGGAGAGGACGCCGGATGCAAAGTTGAGTCCTTTGGAGAAATAGTCCATCTTTGAGCCTGGATGGACTCCTGTCTCGAGGACATCTTCCCCCTCTTGGCCTGGCTTGCGCGATAGTCGAGGGAATAGCGTCCGACCATGGAAGGACAGCAGAGCAACCTCGTTGTTTTCGTCCCCGGCCTGCGGGCGGTATCCTAGACCACCGACGCTATCGATCCTGAAGATTTTCTCGCTGCGGCCGGGCTTCAAGTTAATCTGCCACAAGCCTGGCTGTGCCTTGAACTGGAAATATCCCAGATTAGCCATGATGATAGTATCGGCGAAATGGTGGTTGTTCTCCGTGCCCAAAATAAGTTGGACACCTCTGGGGGGAGACTTTGTTGTAAGATCATGAGAGTGGCCCTCGATCAGAATGTGCTCGAGCGCGTAGATAGCGTCAACGTCAGTACCAGACTTGACCGAGCTCAGCTTGATGTTGTCCAGGTCATAGACTGATTCGCTGGGTGCTACGAGCCAAGACGACGGTACGTCCATGCCCAGGGTAAGTAGTGCATCGACTGGCACGCCAGTGAAGGACGCCTGCGGCCGAGCCAGAGCTCCCTTGTCAGTGAAAGATGGCTCTGATTCCAAAACATAGCGGTAGAACCGCTTGACCGGCAGCTCCGTGAGCTCGTCCTTCGGGTTCAAGAAAATCTTCAGATGAACGCTGGATAGTTCAGAGAGAACCTTCAGAATCGGCAACCATCGCTGAGCAACCTCAGATGCCGGGTCAAGGCTAACAGTAACGTGGATCGTGGGATCGTCGGAATTAGAAACCGTGATTACAGAGTGCTCTGCCCTCCACTTACCGGGCACGTCTATTCTGAAATCAGGGGTATTTTCGAAAATGCCTTCGGGGACATCCGGGACGGTTGAAAGAGCCACAAGCGAGGTTAATTTGGCAAAATCGAGCGGGTTGGAGATCTTATCGGCGAGTCCGAGTTCGCCAACAGCCGCAGCAACAGAATCGAGGCGTTTCACCCTTTCGTAGGCAATCAGTTGGCTCATATCTTCCACGCTTAACGGATGTTCCTCCCCAATAGGGCTGACTGCCCTCCCATTGACAACAAGTCCCTCAGTGCCAGGATTGAATCCAAGTTCTTTCGCCAGATTTTGGTGCAAAGCTTGAAGGGGAGAGATCTCCTGAGCTTCAGGCTCAAGATCACCAGATACAATCTTGGCCAGCACTTGGTCGATAGTATCTCCCTTCGCAAGAGAAAGATAGAGAGTTACGAGGTTCTTGGGGACATTGTCCTCGACGTCCGATGCCGCGTTGTGCAGCATCAGAATCTCCACATCGCTATTCTTCTTTCGAAGATTGAGAGCTTCGGTCAGTAGTTTCATACCTGCCTCTGACTCAAAATCGCCCACAACTATCACATGAGCGCTCTCTAAAGCTCCCTTGTCGGAGAGAACGTGAGGAATCTTGCTCAACACATCTTTATCCGATGGAAGTATGCTAGCGATGTCCACAATCTGTACACTCTTGGGATCCTCGGGCATGAGGAAGGTGTTGCGTCTCTCGAATGCGCCAGCCAGGAAGTACTTTGGAAGCCATGCGTCCTCCTCAAAAATTCCCTGTAAAATGCCTTGCTGGACCAATTTCAAGTCCCTGCCGATCTGCATGCTCATTCCCTGCATCCAGTTGCCTTCTCGGGAAACAGGGATACCGTTTACTAAAAATTGAGGTGCATCGCTGGTAAGATTCAACCGACGCTGGTAAGCAGCCGTTTGGGACACCAGAGCATCATATTTCTCGCTCTTCAAGACCTGATCAAGAGACAGAGCTTCATATTCGTCAAGGAGATCGCGTTCTTTAGTCGCAGACTGGAAGCACGACTTGTCTGGGAAGCCGGCTTTGCCTTTTGAGGCGTGCTCTTCGAAATATTGCAGAAGAGACTCAATTCCATAGGCATCGAATAGGTAATGCGCTACCTTCAGCTGCGCAATGGACTCTGCCGACGAGCTGGCAGGTACGAAGCCGAATCTCACAGGAATTCCTCGCTTGATGAAGGTGTTCAGGTTCCCAGCAATAAGCATCATGTGCTGCGGGTTAGACGCATCCATAGACACGATGACGTTGTGCAGATCTCGGCTCACTGGGGGCAATTGTCCCACGTAAGAACCAGTGACGTACTAGAAATAGGTCAATACGGATCAAGTCCGACATCCATGCGAATAAGTACGTACTGCCTCAAGATCACTAGGCCAGGACTCGTATCTAGAGTCCTTCTCCAGATTGTTCATCCAAAGAATAACCTGGTTCCCTTCTAGATTATCCCGATAGTCATACCGTTGTTCCTCGCCACCAGTTTGGGCTTCAGTGAGGAGGCGATGTGACAGTAGCTTCACGACATCATCCGCAGAGAGACCCAGGCCGCGGAATTTCTCAATCAATTTCCTCTCTCGACGCAAATGTTCTAGAAGTGAGAATGCGTCAATTTGCTGGGTGCCCATTTGCACACCGTTGATCCACATGGCATTGTAACCACCGGGGAGCATATTTAACCGGTTATGGCGGATCTCTTGCGCCATTTCCCCGGTATAGTTGTGGGCAGCTACTATCGATGAATACTTGGGGAAATTTTGGGACATCTTGATCAATGTTGCGAAAGGATCCGCGCTGTCCATAACGTAGCCCGCAGAGTTCAAGCCTAGACGGGTCACTTCAGAGGAAGACAGAGGTCGGAGGTCACTGGGAGCATCTTCCTTGGTCTCATCCGGGTCAGTTGGAAGACTTTTGGCGCCCTTTTCTTCGAGCTGCTCCGCATCACGGTCATCAATAACAATGTAGTCCGTTCGCTTCAAAGCAAGCTCCACGCCGTATCCAGACACAAACAAGGGACGGGAGATCCAATGTTGGGGAGGCCGATATCGCACACGGTACGAGATCTGTCCCTGTTTTGCCATATCGCTCAAGGTTTCATGGAAATCTCTGAACATTGGAGAGGCGACATCTGCGTACAGAATAGCGGGAGGGAGCGATAAATCTCCCAGGACTCGATCAAATGGTAGCTCTCTAGGATCTCTGAGGCGCAATTTCAACGTCAGCAATTGAGGTCCGCACCCCACAAACAAAGATCTACCCACATTTCTCCCACGATATCCTGCTGTGCGCGTTCCATAGCAGAAGAGCAATACTGCTTTCCCTCCGAGTGAACCCATACGGGACATACCGCATCTTGGGCCACCATCAAGGACTGCTCAACCGAGGTATTATAGAACTGGAAGTGCGCCTCAATACGAGGCGCCGATGATCGGATCGAAAGCGATAATTGGAACGATGAAAGACTCTCTGGAGTCCGTATATGACCATCATCTTTCAAAACTGTCAAGAAGCGGTCGTAGAGCTCCTTCTCGGTTGTAAGGTCCTCAAACGTCCCGTCGGCGATGCGATCCAACAAAGGAAAATAGGATGAGGAGTTTTCCTCGGCGGCCGACTCCCTGTATGAAATTCGTTAGCCATTCTGAAATTTTCAGACCTATTCCAGGCGAGAGATCATTCAATGTGCAGCGTACAGGAGCTCGACGAGGTATGGGGCCGAGTCAAAGGAGGCCTGGAGCGCCACGTTCACAGCTGGGCTAGCATTTACAATCCAGCTTGGCAATAGAACTCCGACGGCGGCGCACCACCGCCAGGAAATGTGCGATCTCCCAGAGACCCTCATTGTAATGCAATTCAGTGTGGAAGTGCGGTTGTATGTTTTTGTTGTATGGTATAGGGGGTAGCCTCGTATTGGGCGAGTCGTATGTGATGCAGTGTGGGATTCCTAATTAGCAAACATGCAGATCAATCCATTTACAAGCATCCCGGGCCAAATGAGCTACAGCTCTCAACAAAGACGGTAGTGAGATCGAGGATGATGCGGCTGATCTGATCTGGACACTTCGAGGGTTTCACTATCTTATCGAAGCTTCTACGGCAGACGACACGGCAGCTGGCGCAGGCTCTGATAAATATCGACTGCTTTGCTGCGCTGTATTGTGTTGGCTACAGGTGTGATCCTACATTTGTATGATTATGTCTAGTGGATGGGATTTGGTGATAATAATATTGAAAGATAATAAAAGTTTTGGGTTCGAATCCAGTGAGTTGGATGCCATCGTGAAAACATTAAGTCGTAAATCAACACCCCCATATGCTTCCCCCCGAACGCCTTTTTTTGTTCTGAAACAACGAAGGTTTGTCACATAAATGCAGCGTGGCTGGCTCAGCGCGACAGAGGCCTGACATTGGCAAAGTTGGAAGCAAGTGCTCTCTCTAGATTTTGTGCTCGCAGGGGGGCGCTGCAGCGAGATTGAAAGAAAAGTAAGAAATGATCGTGTCGAGTGTAAAGAAATGAAGGGAAATAAGTGTGTGATGCATGTTCAGTCCCCTCTCGTGGCTTTGGGGTGGCTTTTTTTTGGTTTGCTGGCTTGTTTTGTTTTTCACTTTTGTAGGAGAAGTTGTAGAGAAGTTGCGATCAAATGGCCTGGCCAATGCTCTGAGTTGCCTCGGCCGCGTCGACTGCCTTGCGGGCTTGGGCTTCATCGATCAAACGCCGGCGCTTGTCGTCAGTCAAATCGAAAGAAATCGTTGCCTTAAACTTGGTCGATGTCTTGCTCTTGGTGCTGCTAGCCCGACTGTGGAATTCTCTGCAGGACTGCATCTTCTTCAGACTGCGCTCAAACTCCCTCTGTCGCTCCTTCTGCTGCTCCTTCTTGGGGTCCTTTTTCTTGCCCCATCCCGACAAGGAAGCAAATCGCTCCAGGAACGAGCCATGCTTACTAGTGCCGGTGTTCAGTTCGGGAAATTGGGGAAGAGGCTTTTCGGTGTCCGAAGAGTTGGAGCTACCAGGACAGGGGCCGAAATCGGGACCGAAGCTGATACCCGAGTCTGTGCGGCGCTGCACACCGGACTTGCTAATCTGACTAGGATCATTGATCAAAGTACACTCGTCAATCATCTCGAGGGCCGCATTTAAGTATCGGTCAACGACGTCATACAATGCAGGCCATCCATTCTCGTCACCGGGTCGAGCGCCTTGCTTCATGATCGGCTCCAGGATTGAAGGATCAGACTCGAAGGTGGTGATGAATCTGAAGAAGGTATCACGATGATTTCCAAGAATGGCTGTCGACAACTGCTGTGTAGGGGTAGAGCTGTCCCGGTGAAGAGGCGGGAATAGAGTGTTAAGGAGAGCAAGACAGTTGGCTTTGTTAAAGGGCTCGAGCATCATTTGATTGACAAGAACCTGAGAGATGGATGTTAGATACGGAACTCGCTATTTTGATCTCGGAAGAAACCTTACCCAGCGACGCAGGCCAACATAGACCTGAGTATACAGAAAATCGATCATGCGTGCCTTGTTGCTGATGTCTTTGTACCAGACCAGCACGTTAGGGAAGCGGCGAGCCACTTCCGAGTGCCGAGGGTCGCTCATATCATGAGAAGTAACGTTGAGTCGGTTGAAGGCAGCATCAGTCTCCTTTTTCCAGCGACCTTGGAGGTCTCTAATGTAGTCCAGAGCAGTTAAAGCCTGGGCAAAGTCGACATCGGACAGTTCCAGACAAAAACAACGGCGCACAAAGTTAATGATGAAGCTCGGAGGAAGCGAGCAAGGTTGAGAAGCCAATTCAGCGACAGTCTTGGACAAACAGGCACGGAATTCGGCATTGGTGTCGTAAGAAGGAGCATCAGAAGAAGACTTCGAGTCAGCGTTTTTGGACCAAACGGACTTGCGGGAGAAGATGGAGGGTGATTGGGGAATAAATGACGGCGACATTGGGCTTTTCGACGGGTGGCAGTTGAGTTCGTATGCGGCACGAAGAGGGATTTCGTAGCTGTCGGCGTAACGCAAGCAATGATCAAAGATCCACGTCAATGCTGACCCATCGGGTGCATCCAATATCTCATTATGGGGGTCTGAAGACATGCTATGAAAATTTGCAGGATTGAAAGTGTCAGGACCGTTGTCAAGACAAGAGATGGGGTTGAGAATAAGTTGTAAAGAGAGTTGAGAGTTGCAAAGAGAGTTCTGATGAGAGTGATGAGAAGGAGAAATAATGCAAGTCCAGTGGCTAAAGAGCAGTAGTTATGGTGGACCTGAGGGACCGTGGCGGCTGGAATGGCTCGAAGCCCGTCAAGGGGGTAGCTGAAGACCTGATAGGCCCAAAGAGGAATAGAAGACTGGTGGAGAGACCCGGTTGGTCGGATCAGCCCTGGCGTGCCAAATACTTGAGTCACCCAAGGAGGCCAACAAAGAAGAAAAAAAAGAAAAAAAAAAGCTTTTGCGGCTGGCAAGTACTTTTTTTTCCCCCTAGGATGTCCCTTGAGAAGCAAAACCAATCACGATGCAGGATCTCTCGGATCTCCTGCACGCCAGATCTGATGTATGCAACAAACAAAAGGCAAAGCGGCTGCAATGGCTTGCTTCCGAAGACTGAAACGTGAGACACGTCTTAACCCCTTCAAGGATTGAGTAGAGATCGTCAGACGGATAAAAAGGACCAAAGTGGTTGGGAGATAGGAGACCAAGCGAATGTAGAGAGAAATCAAGGAGAGTTGAGGAAGAGATAGAAATGGTTCTGCGGAGGGGAAGGGTCTAATACAAAAAAAAAGCCACGAGCGGTTGCCCTTGGCTGGACCATTCTACTGGGTGGAGACGGACTCGACCGCAAAAACCCGCGAGACAAAATCCGAAATCCTTTTTATTGAATTTAGGTCGATAGATCCAATATTTAATCAATTTAATTTAAGTCAAACCACTCTCTATTCGAGTCCAGATCCATGGATTCTGTTTTTTAAGGCTACTCCACCTGCACCGACCCGCTGGAAGATGCTATTAGCCCCGATTTGTGTGAATGACGATTGGTTTGGAATGCTTCAGAGACAGCCGTTGGCGCTTTTTTGGCTCCACTAGCATACGTTGAACACCTTTCCTCTTCAGGTAGGTTCCAAGCCAAAGAGACTAGCTCACATTTATGATTGGAGGATCATCCCCGTGCCTTTCCGACTTTAGACGACTAGAGCTGTCTTGCATTCAAGGCTCCAGTGCACACGGAACCCTGATATCGTGACCGGGAACTGGGGGAGCCGTTACGTCAAATTTTTCGGCTCTGTCAAATTCATCAGCGCAGCGTGCTGTTTTTGGTTATGAACTGGTTTGCCCAGACAAACTTTTCGGATATTCGCCTCCACCTCAGCTATCTGCTCAGCTTGTATCTACGATGCACATCGTACAGATCTTTTCAGATGGTGGCTCCTGTGGCCACGTACTTTTGTGTTTGCCCCCGGAGGAAAAAAAAAAATTGGTATCTATTGTTGACCTGAAAATTTCTTCCAGACTTGTTGTGTAGTTCAATAATTGAATATTCCATTAATAACTCCTAGGATCCGGTTACGGTCATGTTAGCTTCATTGTTCGATCGCCCGTGGGGCGTATGTTGTACAACGTTGCACCACACGCAATACCTATGTAGTACAACTTGTGCATCACATTCAATCACATAGATCCCCGGTGATGAAATTACTTGTAGTCGTTGCCTCGGGTCCACTAAAAAAAAGGAGCCGTTGGAGGAGTCACAAACATCAAACCAAAATTGATGTATGCACTACTCCGTACAAAGTACGATCGAGGCAAATAGCCGTGATAAGCTTCAAGGCTTCGAAAAGATAATTCAGTTTGCAGATCAGCTATATTAAAATACATACATCATCCGTGGTTTAATATATGTCTTCCGTGGTAACTTCACTGCTAGACCGCAATTGACTGTCCAGTCGGGTCGCCGCCCTCTATGCCTCAGGTGCCTCAGGCGTTCTTTATTGACTGACAGGTCTACTTTCCAACCTCCACACTTCGGGAAGATATCTACTCCGTACATACGGAGGAGTACTTAATTTAACACCTGGAATACTAAAAATTGGGGATAAAATGTCAAACACATACGCAAATTATCCGGAACTTCCGCAATTGATACAACGAAACAAAACAACATGACACTGCCCAGATGATCCGCCAATTTCGGGGCCTTCCAAAACTAGTTTGGTGGCATCACATGACCAGCTTTCAGCTCGAGGCGAATGTCGATCTATCAAACCTAGACACGATGATCATTGCCAACGGCATTGATTTGTTCTGATACTATATACTCCATACTTCATAGGAAGGCCAATCAGCCCGAGAGGAAAATTTGCGAGACCATTTGGGGGGGGGGGCGCTCTCGTGATGATCACCTCATTATCGTCTTTGATGTATTCTGAACTCCGCAGGAGTACCCTGTGCTCTACCCCCTGTATGTTGTACTTGATCAGATATTGCTAGCTACCAGCTACCAGCAGCTCGGGTCAACAGACACCTGGACCCTTTTTGCCTCGCTGCCGGATGACGACGATGGTGTTTTAGAAGCTTGATCAACTGCCACTCTATTGACAAAAATATATATTTTTGTCAAGAAGTCCCCTTTAGTCCGTCCGTGCAATGTGTGAAGTATAGTCAGGAACAATTTTTTTGGTACCGTGACACTCCTTCTTCCCTAGCTAAGGATTGGAAAAATACAAATGATAGGCATTTCTTGAATTTTGGAGATGCCCAAGGGGCCCATTGGGTATATACGACACAGGAGGAACTTCCTATTCATATCGACATTCTCCACTTTAAACCATATTGTAGGTACAAAGGAACCCCTTTACATATTGATCGCCTTCTACAATCGAACGGGTCTCCAACTGAGAAGGCTCAATGCATGTATTCCAATTCCGTATTCCGCAGGAATTCCATACTCCGTAGGAATAGTCGCACGAGTCGGAAACCCACCGGGGTCACCTGGTCAGAAGCCTCTTTCAGAATCATAGCAAAGATCATGCTACTCATCGCCACTCGAGATCTGCAGTCCGCAGCTCACTAGTGTCCTTAGGAGCGACCGTCTTCTCTCCGAAACACAACGAACCAACGGAGACATTAAGCAGCAGGGCGTGTTCATGACTTTGAAAACCCCATCTGATCAAAAGTTGATGACCATGTCTGTACTCCGTATAGAGTACCTTAGCCCATCTTTCCAAGCACAACACGTTGCGTAATAATCCTATACCCGCCCCCTATCCATTGCTTGACTATAGGCGTGTTGTGACAAGTGTTATCGGCAGCTAGCTTATTGAAGAGACAACCTGACAGAAGGATCGGGCGCATCTGTGCATATGGCAAGTCTCACGAGGGCAGTCTGTAATAGAGTCATGTGAAGATATTAGTACCAGACTTCAGCTTGCCACTCCCCACTGTGAGGTTGTATTCTTCCATAGCTTTGCCTGAGAGGATCGCTTGGTGTTGTCTTTTAATTCCAGGCACCCCCACAATTGCGGTAGACTAATTAATTAGATGGGCGAATCTGTTGGCATGAATTGGTAAGGGTGATGTTGGGCACCATGTAGTTTGCCGATCTACTGCACAGATGTAGCTTCCCGGTTAGGCAGGCCCGCACCTACCTGGGGGTGGACAGTATTTGATGATGACATAAGCAAGTGACATCGGCCCCCTCCCGCCTGGCAGAAAAAGGCAGACGATAAGGCGCACTGCTTCAATACTTCGACTTTGCTCTGAAACTGTTCATTTGTGCAAGGCACATATTAGCCATGACAAAGGGACCATTGGAGCAAAAGCTCCAATTTGAGAAGAAGAACAAAGACCTTATCCGACTTCCAAAATGTGAGCCTTCCTATCCGAACGTCTGAGGTCTAATGGCCAAGCTGGGAACCAAAGACCACAAACACTGACTTTTGGACAACAGATGTCAAGGTGGAGAAGCGCCCTATACCTCATGCGCCAGTCGCCTCCCCGTATGCGGGCGCATCAATACCCAAGATTGTCTATGTCTCCAAGACCACACCGTTCATGAGCGCCGTCAAGCGCGTCCAGAAACTCCTCCTGCAAGCCGAGAAGCGCGCCACTGCAAACATCAACCTTGAGGACACGCGTAAGAACGAGAAACAGATACTCGATGAGCTGTCGAAAGTGTCAGAGAAGCGAGAGGAGGTTTTTGTGAAGGCGACGGGACGGGCTATCGAGAAGGCGCTGAACGTAGCTAAATGGTTTGAGGAAAAGGGAACCGAGTATACAGTCCGTGTCAATACGGGGAGTGTGATTGTCGTGGATGATATCATTGAAGATGAAGAAATGAAAGCAAAAGAGGAACAGAAACGACAACGGCAGGAAAAACAAACCCCAACTGACCAGGGAGATGCGGCTTTTAAGCCAGAGTCCAAGTCGGCCGCAAAGAAGAGGAAACGCCAGGCGGCCGCGGTAGAAGATGATACTGAGCTTCCGGAGAGCCGGACGAGATGGATCAAAATGGTCGAGGTCGCCGTCAGCCTCAAGTGAATCCGCCTACGACCAATTTCGATAAATACTCCTACAATAGACGATAGCCGGCCATCTTATTGCCCGACGATCGCCTGCTGATCTGAGGATGTTCAACAGCAAAACTCCGCATACATGGCTGGGAAATAATAATTTTGTTATGAGCCTGTGGCGAAGCCCAGAATTGCCAACTAGGACATTAGTGCACGCACATCCTGCCAAGTGACCTTGATCCAAACGGAACACTCTTGGCGACTATGCAACACCCAGTGCCCAGGTCAGAAGACTCTTGTTCCTGAATTTCTGTTCTGGGATATTGCTGGTGGAAGCAGTCAAACCCTCAGCCCCAATTCGAGGCCATCCTCTGACCGCCCTTCATCGCCTGCATACACCCAGTATCAAATGCTCTACAGGCGCAACATCAACATTACGCGGGCGTGAAAGGCCCTTGAGCAGAATCTGGAAAAGAACAATTCGGTTGTCTTTAGGTTGTTAGCATAGCACAAAGTCATGTACATCGAGATTGTCCCTAAAAAATCAACTCTAATTTACTCAGAGCACATGCTCCACCCGACCTCGAAATCACCCCAACGCGCTGTAGATGCTGGACAGACTTGCATGAATAACGGAAGAGAAAGAGAGGGAGAACTATAGGGTAACAGCACTACTCCAATCAGAAAAGAGATTTAAAAGAGGGAGCCTAAATCATCGAATCTGCCAGTGAGAAACGAATGGCACGAATGAAAAACGAAATAATACGAATGACTCCTTGATACGCTCACAAAGTTCGGTGCTGACACGACACGATGAATGATAATGCCTGAAAAGCTTTCATCGAACGAAACGTTTCAAAAAAAGGCTGCAAGCCATGGACGTATCCTTGGTTTCCTCCATCATGTACAGACAAAAGAGAAAGAGAGATTTCGATTCCACAAGGGGGTGGCAGGCTAATAGTAACATAGTAGGAGGTAGAAGAAGAACGAAGAAAAAGGAGATGGCAAGAGGAGGAGGAACGGACGTCGAAAAAGACGACAAGGAAGGAGATCCCTGAGGGGGATCTCGAGAAAGTCATCAAAAAATTCATGAGTTAAAAGAGACAGTGTGGGCTATACGGAAAAGGCTCCGAATATGAAGACAAGAAAATGGCCCTCAACCGAGAGGAGAGCCAGGACAGGACATTCTTTGCCAGAAAGTCGTGACTGGCAAAGACTGAAATCCGATGAGAAAGATAGGAGACAAAAATCAAATAATGCAAAGGGCCTATGCATGCAATCAAAATAGCCATCAAAAGAATAGGGGATCCTAGAAACAGTACGCGAGGCCAAGCTGGTTTATCTGTCCATCTTTTGCCAACTGTTGAGATAGGCCATCAGGCCTACTCCTAATAGGACCACTCCAAACATGGAGGCATAAGGGCTTGCTTCTTCCACATAGTTGTATCGATGGCGTCGTGTTGCCAGGGATGTGACTGCAGCATCCAGCTCCTTGTTCTGCGAGAGAACCGGATCGAAGCCCTGCATCGATGTAGTCTTCATCTTAGAATCCGTTGGAGTATCATCGCTCGTAAGCAATTTTTCCGACACGATATTGCCTGGCTTGCGGTCATGCGTATCGGTTCTGTTACCAAGCACAGTGGCAGATGCTTTCTCAGCGCGTTCCTGGCGCAAGGTTTCAATCATTTCGTTCAACGACTTGCGTGACTCCGTGGTCTCATCTTCAGCCTTCTCAGCACGATCTTTGAAGGATGCGATTTGCTTTCTCATCTCTGCCATCTCCTCCATCATACTCTCCAAGCGAGTCTGAAGTTCAGCACTCTTGTCTTCCACGGGAACATGTGTCTGGCTGTCGCTGGAAGTAGGAGTCTCCGAAGGATGGATGCCGTTGACCTGCACGGTGGCTTCTATACCAGCCTGCTCCTTCTGTCCATCTACCCCATTCTCTGAAGGTGAAACAATGCTGTTCTCGACTTTGAATTCTTGAATTTCCAATGAGCGCATCTCCAATTCGTTGACTTTGTCTTCCGCCAATTTGCGAGCAGCCTGTTCTTGGCACAGCAAAATCTCTAGTTCCTTGACACGTGTTCCATGGGTTTCAATCTCTCGCTTGGCAGACGATAGCGCCTCAATCAGATTCAAGATCTGACTGGAATCGCGAGAGACAGGAGAACTTGTAGCGCTCTTCGGCTTTTCTGTATCGCTGCGCCTGAGAGGTGTGAACGATTCCGAGGCACTTCGTGACAACGCAACGGGTTTCTCTGGCAGAGGTTGTTGGGGAGGAGGGGCGGGAGGATCTGAGAACCTTGAAAAAGAGTCGACCCGGGGCATTTTGGGCCTACCGTTCATCTGGCGATGAGCATTGTTCTCTAAAGGAGACGGTTTAATGATCTTCTCTTTCTCTGCATAGCCTGGTTTCATGATAGTCGTCAAAAATTCATCTGCCTGAGAAAGATCTGTTGTTTGTTGCTTTGCGGATTTCAATTCACTCTAGAACAAGTCAGCGATATGTGGTAGATAGTTAAATAGTGATTCGCACCGTAAGCCGCTTGACGACCTGTTCGATAGAGATTGGAGAGTTCCAGTAGTTCATTTGCCTTTGTTGATGTAAAGCATTTAGCTGATTGTTGGTAACACTCTGGGCACTTCTGCTACTCGCGTTGCTACCGGCTCGGCCGCGCATGTGAGAAAGCGGTTGACTCAAAGGAGAAGGGAGAAGGCCACCCCCGGAGGCAGGATCCAAGTCCCCGAAGTTCAGATCAAGGATACTAGGGGTAGTACCATAGATTCCGGCATGCTCAACCTTAGATGAGACTTTGTGGTGGACGATGGTGGATTGATCCTCGCTGACAATATCAATACCTAGCTCAAGGGTATCGCTTTCTCGTAGTTCGTGTGGCTCTGACTCCCGATTTTCAGGAGACAGCCGGTGGCCGTTCACAAATGTGCCGTTTGAGGATTTAACGTCTCGAATCCAAATTTTGCCAGACTTATCGGCCCAAACCTCAGCGTGTTGTCGAGAGAGAACTTTCGAGTCAAAGAATCCATTGAGAGGCGTGGGCACTGTTTTGGCGTTTGTCTGTCGCCCGATTCGCAGAACCTCGGGGTAGTATGGTACATTGATCTGTTTCCTGTCAAAGGTGCCGTTCATTGGCAACAAAATTAAGATTGCTGGGTTCTCTGAGGGCGGGCCAGTTGGCGGACGGACGCCATTCTGCTGCGATAAGTGAGGCATCTGCTGCGATGGAACAATGTTCGAAGGCTGATGCATTGCGGACATTGTCGACGACGCACTTGGGCCCGACGAGAAAGCAGGCATTGCCTGAGATCGTGCGTTTGTTACCCCTGATACCGGCTCAGATTTTGAGCTCGGCCAGATATTCTTCGAGTGCTTTTTTTTTGATGATGACCAGTTCTCTGATTCGCTGGCGGAATTCGGCGCGGCATGGGTATCTTGGGAAGGGGTGGTCACAGTAAATGTGGAGGAGGTCGAGGAGGTCGACCCTAGAGAGGAAGAGGAGTTTGAGCGTTGAACGTGTTTCCGTGGCATAAACATCCGCGATACGTCGTCGGCATTCACTGAAGACAGAGCTCCTTCTCCTCCGTTGCTAGAGCTGTACCATCCCAAGCGAGACCCCGATTCGACACTAGGTGGAGATGCCACAGCAGTCATGGAGAAGGATGCGGATGGTTCAAGGCGAATGGAATATCTAGACGGAGCACGGAGCGCGTCTACGGGTTGCGAATTGTGATAGGGGCTGTGTTATGAGGTAGTCTGAAAGGTGAGAAGAAGACGTCTAGTATTGTTGGTTTATGTCCGAGGACTGGGGATCTTGAATGCGCGCAAGGGTGACTGGAGCTTTAGTCGCCCGACTAAAAATGAACATGGTCGCGTTAGTGCTGTTTGGGGTAGAGACAAATAAATTGGCTTCTAGGTCGAGGCAGTACCTTGACCCCACAAAAAAAAAGTTATATTTGGAGTAGAGAGTAAACTCACTTCTGAATTGTGAACTGAGAGATATTTAGAACTGTAAAATAGGTGCTTCAAGACCGAGGGAGTTGTGTGGAGGTCGGAAATCATGAGCGACCAGTCTCACGCCAGGGCAATGAAAGAAGCACAAGACGGGACTGCCGCCTCGGCGCAGGCTTCAGGCAGCCCTTTAAAAAATTTGACGGGAAAGAAATCAGAAATCCAGGATAGTTGCCATGAGGGAACCCAGGCAAGAGCGCAAGATGGCCAGTTTCCCTACTCCCTTGACGCTGTCAGGCAAAAAAGTGTCACGTGCTGTGTCAGCACGTGTGCGGTTTGAAGCCCGAGGTATATCACGTGACCAAGGCGGAGAAGCATGAAGCCGGGGAGGGAAAAGAGCTCGTTCTTTGACTCTTACAACAGGATCTCTCATTCAGCCCAGAGCTGTTGCCTGTTGTTCTCATTCAATTTACAGGCGTTTTTTTTTAGCTTTCCATAATGCCTGTGGTTGCTGGACCTCCCGCTCAAGCGGGCCCAGGGGGTGCTCCCTCAACTTTTGACAAGAGTATGTCATCTACAGCACAGTGATATAGATCACAATCCGCTCGGTGTTCTTTAAGGGCGCCATATATGTGTGAACAAAACGTGCTGACAGATCACCAGTGAAAATGGGCTGCATGATGGGTTCCAGTATGTGATTGCAAAACAACTGCGCCTTGTTCACAATGAGCTTTTAGCTAACATAGCTCCCCTCTTAGCTGTTGGTGGCATCATGGGTTTCATCGTTGGTTTGTACCATCCTGTCCCCAAAGAAACAAAAAACTAGATAGGCTAATTGGGAGCAGGAACTGTGACAATCTTCCAGTATGGTGCTGGCCCCAACGGTGTCATGCGGACTCTGGGCAAGTACATGCTGGGATCGGGTGCCACTTTCGGGTATGATTGATTCCTTGAGCTTGGAATCTTTACCAAATTGGCTGGCATCCACTGGCTAATCAAAATTTCTTTGAATAGACTCTTCATGTCCATCGGCAGTGTCATTCGCTCTGAAGGACCTCGAAACGATGCCTGGCTCCGTGCTCGAGGACCCCCAATGATGCTCCCCCGACAGAGCCCCCTCCGGCCTATGCGCCAGTGAACACACTCATTCTCGCAGTGTTAAGACTGTGTTCGGGAAACATGCGACATGACCACTCCCTGGCGACGTCCCTTGTACGATACAATCTCCATGGCTAAGAGATGCTTTTTTTTTTGGGTGGTATCAAGAGATAGGATAACTACTCGAATATGGCTATTACAGACATGTTCCCGGGTACTTGCCACTTCAGCATGCGATGTACATTATCTAGCAGCACCCAGAGCATGGATGTTGAACTTCCATTGTCTCGGTTGTTCCAACTGTGTTAGGCGCTATCTCGACAATACATCCCCTTTCTTAACTTCCACAATCCAGTCCTATCATGTGAAAGGAGATCCCCCTCCAGAGTTGTATAGGAACAAGGCGATAACATGAATCTTGTCGGAAAATGCATCCAGCTCAAAGGAATATCAATCTACCGGGCCAAAGATCCCTCCGTGTGGCCCAGTCTGACTAGCATGCTTGTTGAATTTCAAATTCAAGACAAGCAATTTGGTTGGTTCTGAATCTGACCACCTAGATTGTCAAACTTCTAGAACCGCAGCTAACTGTCTTCATAGATGACTGAACTGGCATCTATTTTGTTTCGGACGTGGTTTTAATGTCGTGGGGCCCCTCAAATCTAAACCCGAAGTCACCTACAATGCCCTGGCTGAACATTATTCCAAGGCTATAAGCCTTGAATTGCCGAAGATCCTCGTCTATAGTGACACGTTGTTACATTCTGCCTTGCCTTGACCATACTTACCAAAACTATCGAAAATTTCCAGTCTCAATCCATTTTAGAGAAGCCTCCTCCAGTTGCAACTAGCCACCGAACAGGCAGCTGTGCTAGTGATTCACTTCTGTTTGTTTCCATTTCCCCAGTGAATCCTAAATCAGATGCAGAGATCAACGTTGCAATGCTGTTCCAGCCGATCTCGGAGATTTCAAAGATCTAATCCCAGGTTATTCAAGTTAGGAAGCATACTCGCTGACCTGACATGCAGGTATGCGGCCAAGTGGGACTTTGCATGTATAGGTAGGTTGCGAAGATCAGTATCAAAGTACGGGCAATGGAGGCGACTAGATGTCATCAATACGGTCAGAGTATAAGAATACCAGGAGAAATCTACATCCCCGTGTTAAAAATAGGATCCAGTTAATCACTTTCTTACTTATTTTGAAACGGGACACCGAAAATAGTCAGCCCCTTATATATGCCAACAGCACGGAGCATCAAGCTAAGCAGCAAGGCACCTGGGCATGTCCAGATTTCTCACCGATAAAAAGCGATCAAGGGCATCAACCTGCGGTGTAAGTAGGTGAATTCTGGTTCGATCTGCAGATTTCCCAGATGGCCCAATAATGAAGCCATTTTGCCCCCCACAGATCTAAGATCACAGCCCAGTTACGTTTCGATGGGCGCTAGGACACCCTTCTCCCCAGCCCCCCTGGCGCAGCCAACTTTCAACAAACAATTGCACATAATAGACGATCATATCTATCCAATCAGGAGTCACATAAGCTGACAGCTTCATTCTTGATGTATAACCTTGGGAGGATGCGGCTCTAATTTAGGGAATATAAAAGGAACCACCTCTGCGAGGACCTAGGAGGTTTCCCCACAGAGCCTCTGTCCCACCTCCGATCATGACTACCCTGTTAATATCTTGGACCCTTCATTACAGCTGTACCTTGATAGCAAGTCTCTACCTTGTGGTCTGCATTTTATTTAATCGCGCTCCGGTAAAGAAAAGAAAGACTCGCTCCAGGCGTAGCAGTCGACCCCGAGTTATCTTGACTGCCTTGATCGTTTTCACATATGTCAGCCAAACGGTTCTTAAAATCACCACCGATGACTTGGACCGTTCTCAGCCGTTCCTGGTGCATATGACCTCTCAGGCAGTTGTATGGACTGCAGTGTGGCTGCGACAACATCCTTCCACGTCCGAAGTGGCTGGAGCCTCGTTGGTCACCGCTGGTTTTGAAGTTCCACTCCTTGCGCTCTCCTTGTGTCTTAACCCGAGACAATGGGTACCAATTACGCAGACGACTATCTCCGCGGCCCGACTTGCCTTGCTTGTCTTTGTGACAACGGCGATTCTATGGGAAACCAGACAGAGAAAGAAGATATCGGAAGAGTCGCGCCCTTTTCTAAATGGTAATCCCACAAGATATGGAGCAGCGTATGGAAACGACTCGGATAATAGTAGTATTGACTCCAGAGGCGAGAGCGACTCGGACACGGTCCAAAATAAGACCGACGCAGCTACGCGCAGGAAAAGGCTCCGCAATGAGAAGCTGCAGTCGATTGGGGGCTGGTGGGATTATCTGAAAGGTTTCTCGATCTTCCTACCCTATTTGGTTCCCCGAAACCATCTCAAAGTGCAGCTTTGCATTGCTACCAGCATCTTCTGTCTAGTATGTCACCGAGCCTTGAATATTCTCATTCCTCAGCAACTAGCAGATGTTACTGACAGCATCTTTGCCAACAAACCCCCGTATGCTTCACTGGGAATATGGGCGCTGCTGCAGCTCATCCGTGGTGGAGCTGGGTTAGGATTGATTGAATCGCTCGTCAAGATTCCGATCAGGCAGTTCTCGTACCGTCAGATCACCAATGCTGCTTTCAGCCATGTCATGAATCTGTCAATGGATTTCCATATCGAGAATGACTCGGCAGAAGTCATGAAGTCCATCGACCAAGGTGGCGCGCTGAACAATCTGTTGGAAGTTGCCATTCTCGAGATCGTTCCAACAGTGGCGGACTTGGTCATTGCTTGTGTGGTTTTCTATTTGAAGTTCAACGTCTACGCCTCCCTTCTGGTGGTGATAGTCTCGATTGCTTACGTTGCGGCAGAGGTCTTGACCTCGAACTGGAATATGGATGCCAGACGTGAAGTTACGCAGACACAGCGAAACGAAACTCGCATTATGCATCAGGCCGTGCAAGGCTGGCAGACTGTCACATACTTCAACCAGTTCTCGCACGAGAGGTCTCGCTTTGGAGAAGCAGTTGAGCTGGGCTTGAAGGCTAGCGCCCGTTTCGGTCGACGCCGAGCAATTGGCAAGTCACTCCTGGATTTGCTCAAGCCAATCTGCTTCGTGGGGCTCTCCTCGCTGATAGTGCACGAGATCTCTGTGGGACGTGCCTCTACAGGAGACTTTGTATTTTTCATTCAGTATTGGTCTTCGCTGATCTCGCCGTTGGCCTATCTCTCGGCGCAATACCGCTGGCTGGTCTCGGATCTAGTTGATGCCGAGCGGCTACTGTTCCTGTTCCAATCGAAGCCTAGCGTCACTGACCAGGAGTATGCCATGCCACTGAAACCTGGCAATGGCCGCGTTTCCTTCCACCATGTCGACTTTGCCTATGACTCTCGGCTACAGACCCTCACGGATGTGGATGTCTCGATCGAGCCCGGGACCACCGTTGCCCTAGTCGGTATGACAGGCTCGGGGAAGACAACAATCCTTCGACTTCTTCTCCGACTTTACGATGTTACTTCGGGCTATATCGAGATTGACGGCCAAGACATCCGTGACATCACCCTCAGCTCGCTACGCCAGACTCTCGGCGTCGTCCCACAAGATCCCGTCTTGTTCAACGCGTCTATCATGGAGAACTTGCGGTATGCCCGACCCTCGGCCTCCGATGAAGAGGTGCATGCAGCCTGTCGTGCCGCAGCTATTCACGAGAAAATCCTCACTTTCGTGGACGGATACAACACTACGGTCGGCGAGCAGGGCGTCAAATTATCTGGCGGTGAACTACAGCGGATAGCCATTGCTCGGGTGTTCCTGAAGAAGTCGCCGATTCTCCTGCTGGATGAAGCAACGAGTGCCGTCGACTCGAACACGGAATCGGATATCCAGGTTGCATTGGATCGATTGAGAGCCAAGCGAACTACGTTTGTCATTGCGCATCGCCTTTCCACAATCTCCAGCGCTGATCGGATCCTTGTTGTGCATGAGGGACGGGTCGTTGAAAGTGGGTCACATCAAGAGCTGCTGCAGCAGGGTGGAAGATATCAGAACCTCTGGCAGAATCAGTTTGGGGATATCAAAAGTGGAAAACCTGCGCCGTAAAGCGTGACGAGGGCAGACCATTTAAACTGCACCGAATGAAACTGCACCTTTTTGACATGCTTGAAATTTTTTTTTATCATCACCTACAATGCAGTCTTTACCCATCCCGATACCGATCATATCTCCGAATCACATATCCACTCAAACCCCGCGTTGGACCGGGGAACTGCCCTCGTACTAGAGGCGGGATTCTTCATGAGGAACCTTTGTTTTGTCCCATTCCCGCGTCATCTGTTACCTCGATGAGTTGCACTTTAGATTGACATGTCTAGTCACTGCTCCATGGATCTTAACTCCCGGGACCGATCTCGGGGTTTGTTGCAGCGACGAGGATGGCATTTTTAGCACCCCTAAGATATATATATCTCATCTCTCCCCTCGAGCACTGGGTATGCAGAACCGCTAGTCTCACAGCACGGATTTACAACCCAAGCTGACACTGGCATACGTGTTATTGGAACTTGACGGAATCTCTGTGTGGGATGTAGGTGCCTCTACGGAGTGCTTTTGATCCAGTTCTTCCATGTCATACGTTATAAGTTATGGGGGTATATGAAAGTTGGCTATATCCAAGTACGCAGGTGGGTACTAGTCTCAACGCATCTTCGCAATTGGGAAGGAATCCTCCGTACTCCATACAACTAGACCATGTTAATCGACAACAATATAATTTGAGCCCCCCCTTCTCAAGTTCGTTGCCTTAACTTGCCAGGCATCCAAAGATCTCTGTTGACCCACCGTCTATTCGTGTTGGGGAGCTTTCAAGCCTTCGCAGTGGAGACCTTTGCGGGCCCACCGAGTCTCCGAACGACCCCTCTGACAGCAATGACATGTTCCTGCCAACACCTCAAGAGAACAGATCGTGTCCACTAGAGGCCATCCGGCTTATACACCATAGTGAACATGGAATGACTCACCGTTCCACCCCGAAGGAGGTCCCAGTTCCTGAATGGAACCACGATCGTGATCCACCGTGCCTTGTGGAGTAAACGAAGACAAATGTCTTTTTTTCAATGGTGTGGGACGGCAAATCAGAACTTTGTAATATCGGCACCCATCGGAATCACCATTTTAAGGCAAGTCACCCGTCAGATCTAACCCGAATCCCTGAAACGGGGGGTTGGAAGATCAAGCGAATCACCGATTGTTCGATGCCAGGGGTCCGGAATCGACGGAAGTCCCCGCGAGGGAGCACTTGCACAGCGAGAATCGTCATGGAAAAAATCTGTCCTCCATCATGTTGTAGACTGTATACACTGTAAGCAAAGGCACTTCTGGAAACCCGAAATCAAACTATAGATTCGCACTTGTTGAGAACCTTCCACGGCGAATCCTGTTCCCCGAAATTACGAGAGTGCGAAACATGTGTTTGGTTGATTAGACGAAGAATCATAGACTGGACCCCCCTGGCGTCACGAGAAAGACCTTGGGGGATCATAGTTGCTGAGAGCATCTTAGCTTCGTTGGTTCACGCCAATAGGAAGATTCGATTTGCCTCGAAAACCCAAGACCAGACAACAGTCCGAGATTTCTATGACTCTTGTTCCCCAGGTTCGAGGCGTATTATTTAGTCTATCCACACCCTGGACATTTTCCTGGTTCCTTTTTTTTTTTTGAGATTTTTGAGATTTTTGAGATTTTTGGATTTTTGGATTTTTGGATTTTTGGGGCACCTGAGAGATTTCTCGCATAGACACTCATTTCCACCAGTCACTCATTTAACACTTGAGCAGTGCTCTATACGCTCACTCTTTGGCGATACGAAAAAAAAAAAAACACCGAGCCGTATCAACGGTTCAACCTTGACCTTGCTCACTTTCGAATCAATTTTCTAAAATGAAGTTCACCGCTGTCATCGCCTCCCTCTGCTTAGTCGCGGTTCCGTTCGTCGCCGCAGAGGATCCTCTTACCTCCACTGCAACCACGACCGTCACCAAAACTCTGGTGCGTGTCGTGTCGGTGACCCAATCTCCCACTTCCAGCGCCAGTTCCAGTGTGAGCAACCCAACCACCATGTCTGTTTCGACGTCGACTCCTCTGTTTCGCGCGTCTGCCACTACGTCTACTGCCGCTGCCGCTGCCGCTGCCTCCACCGGCGCAGCGGCCAACATTGGCGTTGGCATGCCGGTTGCCTTGGCGGCCGCAGGCTATATTGTTGTGATGGTGGGCCAAGCCCTGTAATCACCTTCGCGATGTCGCGACTCTTCAACGAGAAGCCGTCACGCAGGCAACGATCATGAATCGGGGCCAAGGGCCAATACCGGCCCCAAATCCATAATACGTGACTGCTGCTACCTTGTGGATTGCCGTTTCACTCCAGCAGAGCCGGGATCTTTTCTTTTCGTTTCTTTTCGTTTCTTTTCGTTTCTTTTCGTTTCTTTTCGTTTCTTTTCGTTTCTTTCGTTTCTTTCTTCTTATCCTTTTTTTTAACTTTTTTATTCCTCTCGGTTGGCGGAAGAATCCATTTTGGACGAGAAAACGGTCTCACGCTTTTTCAAATACCCCCATTTCTTTTTGATTTCCTGTGATGCCGTTTTGGACCGATACGAGTTGATGCCGTTATTATTCCCTTCTTCACTCCCGGTCCATTCAATTCGTTTGTCCATATCCGTTGTCGTCGATGACGAGCTAGTTCGTCGGGCTTGCATGAGGCGACGATAAAGTCATCCACAGAATTTAGACACTTCATTTCTTCTCTCCTTGGATACCAATTCCAACGGTAAACACCCAACAGTAACAACATAGCAAAAAGATGGAGAAGATCATGTCGACCCAACTTTCCAGCGGGGTCGAATGCCCGTGCACGTGTGATCCGATCTTATCTTTTTGATCCGATCTTTTCCATTCCAACCGGGCATGCAGCTGGTTTTCTCTTCTGAATCATAAGAGACCTCTCAGCTGATGCCAGATCCTTAACCCCTATTTCCCTCAGTCGCGCCATTAGCGCGTTTGTTGACACCCGCCGCTCTCCATCCCGGGTCTCCACAACGCGTCGCGCAACTCCCCCCCCCAACGTCAGATCAAAACTGGGTTTGAACTGAAACCCAATGAAACCAGATTGAGAATCGCACGGAACGTGTCTGAACCTGCCAACCGAAATCGCAATGGATAGCGAGATCCCTCTCCCACCACCGCGGCGAATCCGGCACCGCTCGCCCGCGACCGCGAACCCCTCTGCGACCGACAGAGCGGTATCCTCATTCCAGCGCACGCAGCGACTGTCGCGTTTCGATGATCGCTCTAGTCAGCCGTCCAGCGACTTGGCGCTGTTCTCCAGTGACGATATACCGGCTTCCGGGCTGGAGAACTACCATGCGACGGGGCCGGGCGCGGGTCGCAAACGGCGGTATAGGGGGACTTGGTGGGGGGAGCAGGTGTTAGATCCCAAGCGGAAAAGGGCCAACTTTAAGGAGAAGAGGAATGTTGATAGTGGTGTGTGGATGGGGAGTGATGAGTCGGGTGCTGAGTCGCTTTTGCCGTCAGAGGATGGCTCGGCGTGGGGGGAAGACTTGCCCAAGTCTATGCTTGATCCTAGAACGTCTGGAAGTTTCACCCCCTTCGGTATACAGACGGAGAAAATGCCCTTACAGTCTCGTGTTGCGTTTAGAAGCTCTGAGGAGTCCGATGCTCATCGGTTTGCGCGGGAGGTTGTTGGCGATTGTCTTGACAAGGGACATGAGAGTATTGATCTGAGGTATGTATGAAGTGTCCTTTTATCTGGCGTTCTGGCTTCGTCGAACTACCTTTTTTTTTTTTACCGGGGCCAATGATCCTAACAGCTCTTTTCTACCCAGCGACTTCCATCTGACATCTATCCCATCCGGTCTGCTACGACCTCTGCAGCACCTCACGAAGCTTCCCTCAGTGAGGGAAGCCCCAGTTTCAGAGATCGTCTTCACGTCCCTACAGCCATTCCTCAGCATCTATCTCCCTAACAACTCCTTATCAGCCCTGCACAATGATCTCTTCGAGCTCACCAACCTCAAAGTCCTCAGCCTGCGAAACAACAAGCTGACGGAAATCCCATCTACAATCCGCAGACTAACAGCGCTGGAAGTCTTGAACCTTTCCGTCAACCAATTGTCCTACCTTCCCTGGGAGATCCTCGAACTCATGCAACAAGGCGAACTAAAACACCTAACCGTCCGCCCGAATCCATTCCTCCCAATCGAAGAAGCGCAGATCGCAGACTGGCACTACAAACCTACCAATAAGAAGGAAACAGAGAACACCGAGAACTCATCTCCTCCACTCCAATTCCAAGATCAGGAATCTCCTCTCGACGAGGGTTGGACCCCTCTCCACGTCGCAACAGGTCCGATCACCGACCTGAACATGGAGGGCAATCCCATGGGAGACAGCTCATCCTCCAACAGACTCGCTCTCACACCATCGGGACCGACCTCCCCTGTAAACAACGCCCCGTCCTTGCGCGAAGTCGCGCTCCGTGCCGTGAGCAAGCTCCCCTACCTGGAGCAAACCACCGACGAAGAGCTGGCTGAGTACCCGGCACTGATTGTACCCTTGTTGCAACGAGCGAGGGAAGTGCGCACTGCGGGTGGTCAGCCCTGTTCCGTCTGCCAGCGAGAATACGTGATTCCCCGTGCTGAATGGATAGAGTGGTGGGACTTTACGCCGTGTGAGAATGGGATGAAGATGCCTCGCTGTCCCGGTGAGAAGCTGAGACCTTTACCGTTTCGGCGGTTTGGCTGTAGCTTGTCCTGCGTGCCGAGGACGTGTTGAACATTGCATTGACTTTTTTTGCTGCTTTGGGGGATGGGTTGCTTTTTTTGTGGGATTCGCTTTTGTATGGATTTGGTTGGCATGTTAATCTGGACTGTGGTGCTAGGACTTTGTCTGTTAGATTCTTTTGTAGAAACCATGACAACTTAGGTCTGTTTTTCTGCTTTATCCTCCAAAGTTGTGCTCTGTCATTGTGCTGAGATGACTTGGCATCCATGTTCAAACCGATGATGTTTCTCAAGCGAGCATCGAAGGAAAGCTCAAGTGGTTTCCCACGTATTCAAGGCCATTACATCGTTGTGAATTGCAACGATTAACCCCCTCTCCCCGGAGCCAGTGATTCGCAACAAGGCTAAGAGCTGACACGCACAGACCATACCAACTCCGTCAACGCAGCCCGAAGTTCGAGCCTTGCAGTCACAAGAATGCGAGATGAAAGAGCCATGGGGATCCCAATACTATCTCACTTTCAGCTTCTTGTAAATCAACATCGCGACACGGAGTCAACTCTTGACCGCCAACATCCAACATCCCACATCCGGAGATAACCCAAAACGGAGGCGAGTGGCACACACTAGACGTCAACAGCCCAACTGCAGCTTCTAAACTGGTATCCAAGCTCGAGTCTAGAGGACACAAGATCGACGTGCTGGTCAACAATGCCGGATACGCGATCCTCGGGGCAGTAGAGCAGTTCTAGGATGAGGTGCTACGGACCCAGATAGAGGCTAGATCATAGACCGGCCCGGCTGATTAGAGCGGTTGTGTCTGGGGGGGAGGGAGAGGCGGCTTGGAGTTGTTGTTAATGTTAATTCTGGGGCTGGGTTGGAGGGGAGGGAGAGTATGGGTGCCTATGCGGCGAAGGCTGCTATAGATCGATCGTGTGTTTTTATTTTTTCGTTCTGTTCTGAAGGACTTCTCGTCTATGTACTGGCTGCAAAGATTCTGGATTCGTTGCTGACCGGTAAGCTTGTTACTGATGGCGACAAGGACAAGGCTGCCAAGGCGATGTATCAAGGTATAGTTATCTGTTTTATTTTTGGGTATATTGATCTCTGGTTTACCTGTTGTTAAGTTGTTAGTAGAGTATAGGTTGGTGCTGGGCGTGAGAGTGACAGGTCCTTGCCTTTGGGTCGGGATATGATTCCTCGTATTGAATTGGTTGCGTGATCGGTTGGTTCATGCGCTTGTTGTGTTTGGGGATATTGCTGGGAATGTCTATGTCAAGAAGGATTGAGGTTGAGCGTTGCTTTCTGCATGGGTTGAATGGAAATAACAGTCTGAACAGCTTCGATTGCGATCAATTAGAAGAGTACCTGCAGTGAATTTGGTGTGAACAGTGTGATCATAGAGCGCCAACAGACCAGATGAAACTATGGTGGCGTTGTAATAATGTTGATGACGACCAGTTGTCATCGGAATCCATTCAGATATCCATTCTACCAAAATAACATACGAACATACAAAATTGGAATGATTGACCTGCGGTATATCTCAGCCGCTTCAACAACGCTTGCAGGCACTTTGCCATCGCCCAGCACGCCGAACTGTTCTCACCCAACGCCAAACAGATTCAAATCATAAGAAACTCCAAACGCTAATACAGCATGCTTCAATACAAGGAGAGCAAATCCCAAAGGACGGAGGGGGGAATGGTTAACAAAAAGGAAAATCGAAAAGAGTGTTAAGAGTATTAACGTTAGCGATTACGGTCTGCACGAGCCTGGTGCCATATGGTATCGCCGCTTAGAGCAGAAAAGCTGAGGGTAGCCAGGTTTCGCCAACTTGACGGTGGAGCAGAATTTGCATGGTCGCCAAGTAGACCTGCATTTTGTTCCGGATCTGAGGCATCGACATTGGCGCCTTCAATTAGCAACGGAGCGGAAGATGCGCTGCCTCGAGAGTTTGAGTGGGCGGAGTGAACGTCGTCATTGGACTGCTCACGATTACCCCGAGAATCGCCGGGTTGACAGTGTGCCAACGAACGTACAACATCGCCTTTACAGATTGGACAAGTTCGTCGACGAGTAGTCAACCAGGGGGTACTGAGAAAGGAGGTTAGATAAATATCCAAACAAAGACCAAATTCATTTCAGGTCACTTACATGCATTCCACGTGGAATTCGTGGCCACAGGGCAAGCTCATAACCCGGCTCTGGCCATCGACATATTCCTCAAGACATACGACGCACTCCACCTGCCTTCCTGTATACTTGCGTCGCCACAAGGTAGATCCGCTTTGCAGGTTGCACTTCTCTTCCTTGGGCATGGCAGATGAGTCTAGCATAGTGCCCGAGAAAGTTTGTGAACGTGACCTGTTTGATCGGGATGCACTTGGCCGGCTTTCATTGCCAAGGAGTGGGGAAGTCGGGGAGATAGGATCGGGACTAGGGGGACGCGTTGAGTTGGCAGATGACGAAGAAGTGGTTGTTATTGTGTGGTAGGTTCGGACAGGAAGTCGCTCGATGACCGACTTCGGCGCACGCCAGCGACGACGACGGATACGAGACCGGAGCAGCAAAAGGGCATAAACAACCGTTAGTGTGAGCAAAGGACTGACGACAAGGACCAGTAGAGTATCGAAAAAGGGGCTGGTAGACATGCTGGTAGGTGTCATGGTAACCCAGAGACCTTCATGCTCGGAAGACTCCGCGCTTAGACGGCTCGATGTGTGAGGGTTACTTTGCATCTGCTGGTTTGGTGCAGTACTTTTCTGAAGGGAAGGCGACGAGGAAGGCTGAAAATCTTGCTGGGTATCATCTCCCCATCCAAAGTGACTTGAAAACCAACCCTTTGTTGAAGACCCAGATTTCCCATGAGTTCCGATAGATTCTTTTTCAGACCCCTTGAGGCGCGCGTCATGAAAACCAGCACTGGATTTGTCGATGCTCTGGTATTCTCCACTTCCTGGTGTGATGCTACCACCCTGAAGGCCATTGGGCGAGGAAGCAGCATCTTTATCCGCGCTGGCAGTCTTAGCTGCATCTTTGCCAGATACAGAGGTGCCTGCTGTCGGGGGTGTGCTACTCTTAGGAGGCATCAAGTCGGGATCTCTCCAGTCCTGGACACCGATAACAAAGTCATCATCCTCAGAACTTTCCGAGGACATGTCTGCCTTGTGGCTGTCGAATACGTCGTCTCCTTTGGCCCGACCACGATAATTGAAATCAGTTGATCTCCTCCAGGCGCTCGATGGGGCTTCCTTTTCATCCTGTGAGCCTAGGCTGATCCAGTCAATGTTGCCGCTGCTGGGCGGACGTCGGCTGTCTTCCAGATGCTGCGAACCTTCGTTCTTATCGCACAATCCCAGGAAGGCGCCAATTGCACGGAAAAAGCCGCCTTTCGAAGGAGACGAGGGCGCAAGTGTCTCCTTGGATGTCGAATGGCTTCTAGCAGTTGGACTTGGAATGGCTGTTGTTGCTGATGTAGTTGCCACCCGTTCTTTGTTGGCGTCAGCCTGTCCTGCCAGCTTCGCCTGTGATGATTTTAACACATCTCCCAAACCGGCAGTTCCACCGGCATGTCCAGGAACCAATGACGATAAAAGATGAGCAGTAGTGTGGGATGTGAACAATGCCGGGATCGTGACGTTCGATGTATCGCCTCGTGCGTACATGGTAACTAAGTTGCCACCTCGAGTATCGTCGCCGACAATCAAAGCGACCCCTCCTCGTCGTTGCGCCCATTTGGCCTTTTCCAAAAACCCACAGCCACCCCGACTCAACAGCACGACCTTACCCTGAATTTCGGCAGTTTCCTGTAGTGATTGAATGTCGGCATGCGCAGGCGGCTTGCTTTGTACGTAATCTCCAAATTTCTGACTCATCCCGGGGTTAGAAGCACCGGATTCAGCGAGTGGATGATGTAGATGATCGTCGGTGCCATCGTTAGTCAAGGGTGGGTTGGCTGGATCATCTCTATCATTCTGAGGTGTAGTGTCGGCCTGCGACACCGACCGCGGGCGGTTTGGTGATTGATCATTCACTGTACTACCACCGGAGATGCCGGAAGTCTGCTCCACGCTCCTGGGGGGTTTGTCTTGTTTCTTATGATTGGTGCTCTCGCCCCAGCCGGGAATATCGGAGCAGCCCAGTTCCCCTTCCACACCACCAGCTAATCCCCCCTCACCAAAGCCACTTCCCACCCATAACTGACCGCTGAGGCCTTTGGTTGGCAGCAGCGGACCAAATGCCGCTGGCCGGGCTAGGAAGAAGGTTGAGTTGTCGTCGGTGAGACTTATAATGGCCGACGGAGGGAAAAGGGACGACGGTATGGTGAAAGAAAACAAAGTGCGCAGCCCAGTTGTCTGACTAGCGAGGGTATTGGGAGTTGTTACATCGGGCGATATCAGCGCGGAAAAGAAGGTGAGGAGGATTGGAAAGAAGATAAGACAGAAGAGGAAGATGAGCAGGCGTGGTGGTCGCATGTCTCTGATAGATGGTTTTAACCACGTTGGTCGAAGAGTGGCTTGATCGGAGATATCTAATCACAGAAAGTTGAGGGTGGGTCAAGTAAAAGAATGACGGTGCCAGCGGCTCCGCCGTACCACAATGCTTTGGCTGGACTCTTTATGACCAATCCAACAGCTGGCAGCAAGCTTGCAGGTGGCCACTCATCGAGCGCAATGAGCAGCACTATGGCTGGTTGAAGGTAGTTGACGATTACTGCCAACACGAGTGCACGCAAATTCAAAGCAGCGGGCAACAAGACAATATAGAGAGGCGGAGGGGAGTTCAAGTGAAGCCAGGCAGATGGAGAAGGGGAAGTGAACTCATGATGTGGATTATCTAACCCCGGGTCAGTGACGGCATGCCCGCCGTATCATGTGTTTAAAGCCTGAGGCAAAGTGTTAGCCTTGGTGCCTCAAATCACATGACCCTCTTGAGCGCAAGATATACTGGAAAGAAATAAGCTTGAAAAGGTAGCAGCTTGGATTCATATTGGATTATTTAAACATGTGTATTTTCTTTACTTATAGCACCAGGCGCCTTCAAGATCAAAAAATACAATATAGGTTTTTTTTTGGAAAAAAAACTTCAACCAGTATTGTGAGAGAGAGTTTGACAAAAACACACGAACAAAATTCTGTAATTCGTACAATATCACATTATGTTAACAAGAGGTCATGATCTTTTGCGATCTCGCGCCAAAAGACACAAATTGTAGATTTGATATAGATTTGATATCTGTTTCAAGGTTCTGGACCCAGAGCTGCGATTGCCGATCATGCCATCACTGCTAGGCACCTACGTAATCCACCGCTTTTTTGATTTTCGGTTAGTATCGCAAAATCAATGCACACATACCTATGTCATATACTTTAAGTTGTAATAGCTGGTTGAATCATCAAACTTATTCTACGGGGTGTGATGCTTAATATAGTTAATATAACATTAAGGCATGTCAGTGAGATATTTTTGGATTTGACGATCGATAAAGCTTGCCCCACCTACTATATGTGGATTAGCGTAAAATTTTGACGCCGGGCATATATGACGTATACTTCCAGAACAGGACTAGCTTATTGTGAGGAATCTAGAATTTCCCTGTCTGCCTTTCAAGTGTCTACTCCTTTTGTAAGAGCGAAGGACTACAAAACTAACACAACTGAGTCTACTAATGAGGCCATAAGATAATTTGATAGCGGAACTTCCACTACCCATAGCATAACAATGCCAAATTCAGAGATCTGTTGGCACCGATTGGTACGAAATTGGGGAAACCAACTTAGTGTGAAATTTCAGTCGGCGTATGGACGTGCGGATCTACAATGTATCCTTGCAAGTTTTTACTCAGTGGCGGGCTTGGTCTTGTAGATACGGGACATGACGATGGATGACACTGATAGGTCTCCTCATTTTCAGCCAAGAAAAACTCTCTGTACGTGTAAACCCGTTTGGGACGTCATGACAGCTGTAAACGGGACAGTCAAAGAGTTCGGATCCTTGTTTCACTGGTAAATGTACTCGTGGAACCCCCGCATTATGGCGTCACTCAGTCTTCGTAGGTGGTCTAACCAGGACAACCTTAGATAATTAAGCATATAAACTCGCTACTGGAAGCGCTGTTTCATCTGGTTTATCTACAACACAACAACCCGACCCAAACAACCTTTTCAATAGTCGATTTCAACCCACCTCAAATCTGTTTGAAAAACTTTTATTACCATCACAGCATATCATCACCCATCATGTCGAGCATTATTCATAAGGTCAAGGATGCCGTGACTGGTCATCACCACGATGAGTCCAAGACAACCAGCAGCAAGATCGATGGTTCGCTGTTCCTAGTGACAAGACGCGCTTTGGGACGCTAACAATTATGTTCATATAGATACCGGCGATAACTATGGATCCTCGAGCAACACCACGGACAGTGCTCCTGGCAAACACACTCCGACCAACACAGGTTCCAACACTTATGGCTCTGGCCCTGGAGTTGGCTATAATAACTCTTCCACTACTGGTGCTGGAGACTATGGCACTGGTCACGGTGACGCCAACTCTGGTACTTTTAATGCCTCCCGCAAGGGTCCAATTGATGTTGGCCCGGAAACATCTGGGAACTATGGCAGCAAATCTGATACCTTCGGATCCAACACTGCTGGCGGATACGGATCATCCGACATTGGCTCTAGCACAACTAATGCTGGCTCCCATGATTCTAAGCTAGCCAACAAGGTTGACCCCCGTGTGGACAGCGATTTTGGTAGGTTGAACTTGTTCTTTTCTATCTGTCTTAAACACAAAACATTTGCTGTTAGTCAAACATCTAATGTGATGCTTTAATGCAGACAACCAAGGAAAACACGCTAGAACTACAGGCTCTAGCAACACCTACGGCAGCACCACTGGCCACTCACTTGGACAGACTGACTATGGTTCCAACAACCCTGTATCTGGAAGCACCAGTCACTCCACCGGGCAGTCGGGCTATGGTTCCGGCAACAACTTTTCTGGAAGCGACAACTACGGCCGTACCACCAGCCATGTCTCCAGCAACCCCTTAACTGGTGGTACTTCCGGCAACTCTTCTGGGCAGACCGGATATGGCTCCAGCAACCCTGCTTCTGGAATCGCTAGCCATTCCACCGTAACCGGAGTGTCCAGTTCAAGTAAGCCTCTGTCCGGTAGCGACAACTATGGTAGTTCCACCGGGCAGTTGGGCTATGACTCTGGAAACCCCGTATCTGGAGGTGATAGCTACGGCAACTCCATTGGACAGTCGAGTTATGGCGCTAATGACTCCTACGGAGCCCGTAGTGGCAGCAGCTACAACGACCAAATCTCGAAGACTGGAAAGACTACTGGTCCCCACAGCTCCGACCTACTGAACAAGCTTGACCCCAGAGTTGAGGAGAAGCAGTCGTTCGGCAGCCAGCGCAACTACTAGGCGATTTTTGAGAGTGATGTGAACCTTTTCTAGGCTGTCTTCTTGGCTTTTTTTTAAAAAAATTTTGATGAATATGAACTAACAACAATCGTCCTTTTTTCGTTTTGTCGTCTTGTTTCCTTCAATCGAATGCCAATACAAAATAGCTTGGGTCGATGTTTGAGGATATATTTCCAAAGCATCTGCTCATGCTTCGAATTTTGAGCCGTTTTTTTTGCAATAGGGTCAATAAAACTTCATCTAATCAATTCTTTCTTTTTTTGACATCTCATTTGCCCAGATATCTATCATAGTTGACAATGCTAAGCATTAAATTGTGGACTTCAACGAGTGTTGGGGCCTGATATATATGCCACTGCAATGACAAACATATGTTCTGTTTGTCCTCGTAATCTTTTGGCCTAGCAGGTTGTTGAAAGTCACGCACGTGATCATATTTGCCCTTGCTTGCTTCTTTCCGGTATGTAATGGCAAGGTTATACATCATATAACATAAAATGAACGAGAAGTCCTGTCTGAAAAGATGTACTATCTACTTCTCCCTCCACTCTTCCCTAGACTGTTGTGTGCTTCAGGTTATATGCCAATGGCCAGAAGGAAATATTTTTCTCATAAAGACAATAAACGCACTTAAAATAGACTTACAATATAGCTTCAACATCGTTTCTAACCCGTCTGAGATTCTAGAATCGAGTCCCCCAGTCAGTCCTTTATGGCCAAGGACATAGGCCATATAGTCGGCTGATTATGACGCTGCCCGGGTAGAGTGCTCAAGTATGCCCATAAAGACCTGAGCAAGTTCATACGAAAGTTGCCAGGAGTCACCAATTAGTGTAGGAAGAAGAATAAAACCAGGTGCTGCTATCATGCAAAACAGAACTTCTAGTGCTCTGTACCTATTTCACTAAAGTGAGCCAGACACGGGCATTTCAACAAGTATGCTACGTTCTTCCTTCTGACAATCAAGACTAGCACGCAGTGCCACAAAAGATTGTCCTCGATGTCGAAAATTGGAGAGATAAGAAGGGAAAAAGAATTTCTCTGACCCGAAAATGGGCGCACCGTCTCACATGAAGTAAAAGAATAGAGGAATCGTCATGAACATCAAACGGCAGTGAAGCATCCATAAGGGAACAAAAACCAACAACGCAGCAATCAATTTATGGTTGATCAAGTCAATCGCCAAGACGCCGTGTAGATTTGTTCGTCGGGTATGCAAATGCATATTACAGAAAGGGTAATATTAGGACAAGAGAAAGAAACAGTGCCATGAAGGTCATCACACGAAGGTCATACGAAGGTCACACGAAGGTCACACGAAGGTACCATATATTTCGGAGCTGAGTTGGAATTAGCAGGACACGAGATTTACATGGTGGTCATTTAATGCGGCGCAGGCAAGCACGGTCCGGTGGGGATGGAAGGCAGTGCTGGCAATGGGCGTGGATCGGTTGTGATGAAGGAATCTCGAGTATGGCTCGAACGTAGAAAGATAAGTGCCATCCACATTGAAAGTCTTGACTTCGTGCCGATTTGTACCCCTTTGTCATGTTAGCGCTAAACAAATTTTTTTTTTTCTAAAATACTGCGGCGGAGGAAACGTACATGCTGAAGACAGGAGCGTGCTCGTGAACACTCAAGGTCCGCAGGGTGTCTTTGGTAGCATAGATGGTGGAGATCGGGCTATCCATGCGAATATCCCAAAGTCGGACCTCACCATTTCGGCCACCTGATATCAGTTCTCGCAAGCCACCACGCTGCATATGGACATTTGTAATCCATTGCTTGTGCTCACGCCAGACTTTGACCATGGACGTGGTTGGCTTTAACCGTTGATCAAAGACCCGGACAGCACCGTCACCAAAACCAGCAACGAAGATGTTACCTGCTACTTGGTCAGATGTCAAGGATGTGATGCAGGAACCCGATCGTGCTGGAATGTCCTGTTATTGGAATTTTGTGAGTAACGCGACACACTTGTAAGACAAGAAATCCAAGGCTTACGTTTGTGCACACCTCAGTAGCAGCATTCCAGACGCGGATAACCTTGACATCACCTGCAACCAGAGCTTTACCCTGACCTTGCTGCCAATCAAGTACTAGGCCTGCATTGCGATTGCTTGGAATTAGTTCAGGGAGGGCTCTGAAGGCTGTGACAACTTCAATTTTCTTATTATTTTCGTAATGACGGAAAAGTTTGATCACACCGTCAGAAGATCCAGTCATAAGTAGTGCCTGGTCGTCCTCATTGATGTATCGAACTTCGTTGATCTTTGACCCGACCGGATTGCCATTTGAGAATTGGCTGAGGCGTTTGTGGCTCTGCCAGTCCCAAATTCTATAAGAAGCCAATGGTTAGAAGTACATGAAAAACAGGTGACATGTTGGTACCCACGAGATAGTATCCCGGTCATCTGCGACAGCAAGGTGATCCTCGAATTGATGGAAGCACATCTTGTGGGGCTGGCTCCCATTCGATAGCAAAGCAACCGAGTTATCCCACCGGCTCGCTCCAGCTTTTCCTTTGAGTGGTTGGGTCTCGGCAATTATCTTTTCGTTGCGGCCGCGTCTCCAGAGGCGCTGGTTGTAGTCAGAGCTCCCGGGCTCATCCGGCTCGTTCGGTTTCATCTGGGGCTCCCGGAAATACTTAAAATGGTGAGTGAATGTAGGTAATAAGGGTTGTGGGACTTCAGGGATTCGAAATCCGTAATTACCTCAGTGGACCAGTCTAGAAATCTACTCTTCAGGGGAACAATCGGCACGGCATCTAAGCCTTTGGGTTCGAACCCTCGGGATGTGGGGATCGGAGCCTGGTGGTATGCCGTTGCGGGAGCAACATGATCATTTCCTTCCGGGGGTCGGGTCCACTCAGGAGGGGCCCGACCGCGTGGGGTAATGGTCATACGGCTAGTTGAAGGCGAAGGAGGGTTCGAGTTATCTGAAGATGGGTCTCCTGGTGTTGAATTGCCAAAAGCGAGGTTTTTGAGGGAAGCAGCGACGCTGGCAGTTCGTCTAAAGCCCAAAGAAAGATAACCTTCTTGTTTGGGGGCTGCCGCTCCAGACATGGGAGGTGTAGAGGGTGGCGCGGTTTTCTTTGCCTCAGTTCGCTCGCGAGATTGTAATTTCGCCAAGCCCGTAATTTCCAGAATCTCGTTCTGAAGCTTGTCAGTTAGTGGCGCCATTGGAGATTCCAACAAGGCAAGGTGGATGTAATCAACGATGACGGCAGCATCCTGGGCGATATCAGGATGAGGGTCAACTGAGAGAGCTAGAAGCTGCTTCCAGATAGTCCCAAAAGTCGTATTGCGAGATAGCTGGGGAATTGTTGCATGAGAAACTAGTGCTCCAGTCTGTCCTTCGGAGCGGCTAGCCTGAGAGGTTTCGCTCTCCCAGCGCTGAATCACAGACCGCTTTTCTTCCTCAAGCTCCTCAAAAGCTGCGACCAAAAACTTGTTTTGGTGGCGTCTGACGAAGGTTGAGAAGAACACCAAAAGCTCCTTCCTTACAACCACACTTCCATCGGCAGACATGGGCAAGACTGCCAAGGCTAGTGTTTCCTCGATTTGTGCAACTTGGTCTGTCAGATCTGGAATTCCTAAGAACGTAGTCACAGCGTGAAGCATGGCAGCGCGAACTTCGGGTACGGGGTCAAAATTCAACTCGCAGAGCCTGGCGGGGGCTGCACATCGAATGCCCATCCACTTCGCTTCGGGGAAATCACACCAGAGCATACTGAGACACAGACAAGACCATTGCCGTAGCAAGGGATTTTCCACGTCGCCGAGATGTCTGAGGCACGAATCAAACAACTCACCAGATAGGCAGACGTTCTGTCCTTGGGGATAGTTTTTGCAGAAGATCGAGACTATGAAAGCACACATGGCCCTGTGTTCGCTGGCATTTCCCACAGGAATGGGCGAAGAAGGATTCAGAATTGAGATAAAGTAGTGGATGCCGTTGTCTTTGAGTAGATCATTTTGTACAGTGTGGTCGACTGCCATGATTCTCGCCCAAATGAAGACCATAACTGGTTTCAATTCTTGCGCTGCTGATTGCAGCAACTTAACAACATAGGGGAAGATGCCAATGCTGAGTGCAAGATGGACAGCCCATGGGCCGAGGTCGAGGAATTTACTTAGAAGAATCAAGGCCCGCAAGCGATGTGCCTGACTCAGGAGGACTTGAAGGACAATAGGAAGCTGATCTGGTGGATTCTTCTCCGTAGGGCCGGACGAGAGATACACCTCAAAAGCAGTGAGTTGCTCAGCGAAGAAAGTCGAGTGTTGGTACTCATACTGCCGGCGCCCTTCTTCTTGATCAATGAGAGCAGGTAGCTGAGACAAGACCATCTCAACTGCAAGGTCCCAGCTTTTCCATAGAGGGTGATGGTGTGTGTCTGGCAATTCAGGAGAAGATATCGGATGGCATTTGTATGTGCGCATGATGCGTTCACTGAGCAAAAAGTTGCGGAAAAGAGCGGCGACCATTAGATCCTGTCGGAAGAGCTTCTTGAACAAAGCCCGAGGTAAGGTGTTCCATGCAATAGTATCGGTAATTGCAGTGAAGATCCAATTCAGTTCTCCGAGAGGGCTTCGACGATCTTGAAGTCGACCGGGAACTCGGAAGTCGTCAATGGAAATGTTTGTGCGTAAAGGGTTCTGCAAGATGAAAAAGCGCAATGCGATTTCAATCGGTGTCGTCAAGCAACATGTGAACAGATCTGCAGGTAGGTCGGGATTGGTCGGAAGGGACTCCGTCTTCTGGCACGCAGCTAGAAGGATGCAGTCACCATAATTCTGAATGACGGCATTCGGGTCTCGTTTCTTAGTTTCAACATTCTCTTTCTCATGCTTCTCCACAAAAGTGTGGAAATTTTGGACGATGTTGCCCGCATGTGAAACATCAAAGACAAAAAGACTAGGCCCAGCTAGCCAAGACTGCAAATCATACAGTGGGACGGGGATATACTGGGTATAGTTCTTGTTGAAAACCCAGATTTCACCCGATTGAGTTGGCAACGGCACTCCGTGTCCATTGTAATGTAGAAGAACTCGCTCGTCCTTGGCATTTCGGCGAAGTGAGATGCAGAATTTCTTAGTCTCGTCAACTGATGGATCCAGATACTGTTTGTATCTTGTCCGAAGACTCAAAGTCTCATATTGCTCCTGTAGTTTCTTGCCGATCTGCTCCATGATCTTGTTTTGACCACCACCTGTGGTAGAAGTGGGGTCTACCCAGCATTCAAGCTTTGATGTTGGATTGGTTTTGACCACATCGGGAGGGTCGACCCCGATGTTCAGGCAGATGGCCAGAGCCGCAGATACGGTTTTGAGGCGATCTTTCATGCGCCAATCCTGACTTGGCCAACTCCCCACCGGATCCCTGGGGATGCCATTGGTCTCGTGGCGTTTCTCGGTGAAATACATGTAGAAATTCTAAGTTTAGCGGGGTATTGTGTTAGTTTCCGGGAGCTCACTATCGGAGTGGTCATGCTCACCGAGTGCAAGATCTTAAGATATTCACTGGATGTATATTCCTCCTGCCATCCATGTCGCATGGCAAAATCTTCATCGTCATCGCCTGCCGCTTTGTCGAAGGTTATCCGACTTGGTCCATAGTCACTTTTGGCTCTCTTCAGCATAGCCGGTCGGCTACTCTCTGATCTCCGAGGCGATGGGCGGCGGGGTGGGATCTCTCCGACGGCACCGTTGTCTCCCGATGAGCTAATTGGGCGCCCGTGTGGCGTCAGTGTAGGTTGCTTGTGTTCAACTGCCGTGAGCGAACGATGATGGCCACTCAACGGAGCTGGAGATCTTTCGCGGGTGGGAATCGTCGTCTCTAAATCAGGTCCAAACGCGACGCGGACCGATTTATGCGGGTTGCGACGCGAGGCCGTCGACCCGTTGGTCGTTTGCTGTGAATTTTGTTCCATATCGGTAGTGGGATCCCTCATGTTGTATGATCATTCATTGTGTTACACGAGTGTGGGGAAAGGGCTATGGCTGAATCGTATGTCAAGGCAAGCTGTGAGTATGCCCGCTCAGTCACCGGTCACAATCGGTGAATATCCTCCTTTGATTCGCTCGCGAAGGTTGTCGACTGAAGCCGGGTAGGAGACCAATGATAAAATGGTTCGGGTGACCTTTGAGGTGGTCGGATTTCTAGTGAGCCAGACTAATCTCAAATTACGACTGGCCTGGATAGATACCAGGAGCGCAGAGAGAGAGCTCAGCGCACAGTCTATGGATTCTGGTCCAAAGAGAGCTTATCTGCCTGGTCTAGAGTGGATGTGGTTTGGAAAGGCGAGAGATGGATGCGGAAACAAAGATATTCCGGGGATTACTCAGAATGATGTCTTGGCATCTGGGAAGTATAGACTGAAAGATATACGTACCAGACTCCAACTGCATCTTTCCACAACAATACCGAGGCAATCATGACTTGCACAGGGCCAATGGCTCTTTGTTTCCACAGAGTCAGCTTTATATAACTTTAAATGTCTATCCACAGAGCGTATGTATCTGTGCCACGTGATCTAGGGATATGGAGCTGTTTTAAATGCGGGCACGATTAGTTATATCACGGAGATCGACATAAGTGAAGTTCATCTGGGATAAACTCCCTGTTAGTCAGCTATGTATCTTTTAAGCAACATAACTAGTTAATTAGTTTGTGATCTTTGCCTTGACTAATCAAAGAGAGACATTGTATGGTTGCAAATGTCTAAGACAGCAACCGAAGGGGGACAAAAGGTTTCACTCAAGGAAGTTTGAACATTTAAATATGACTCATCGATTCTCATACAACATGGCAAACCAAAAAAGTCAGACATTTAGCACAGAGCCAATGACGATAGATAATGGCCAAAGTACTCTGTACACCGGTGTCAAGAGGTTCATCCCTAGAACAACCCGAGAGCAGGGAAACAAGCGATCGCCCAAACAGTTTTGATAGGCAGGAAGCCCCTTCTCCCTCGTACTAGTCAACCTCATCGCTCTTTCTTTTTGAGTCAGGCATTTCAGAGTTGACATTCATCAGTTCACATGCCTAGTCACAATGTAATACAGCCCGAACCTGTGAGCCATCGGCATTTGTTCAATATTGTGGGGTATGGATTGCCGTGTGGAATTGGGCAATGCAGTGTTAGGATAATTTGTTATTGGACTTGCAGCTGTTCACACCGTGGCCGAGTCCTCGGACCCTCGGTATACAGGCATGTTGGTTTGATAGTTAGGGTTAATAAGCCTCTGGTATTTCAACCGACCCTTAAATATCATGAAGTAGACTTTGCGACATTGTTGTGAATCCTTGTTTTTTTTCTAGCTTTGAAATGTTGATATAAAAACAGACACGGGCTAAATAAAGACATGTGGATATGCTAACTATACGAAGTTGTGGAATGTGAAATCCCCCTTCGGTTCCTGGAGGCTGGGAAAAAAGAGACTAGGAACGGGAATGAGGAGGGAAATAGTATCATGTACTCCGTACTCCGTACGCAGTATGAAGGACGTAAGTGGAAGACAAGCATTGAATTAAAATAAACAGTGAATAGTACAACACAGATGTTTAAATATTCGAGCAATAGTATGCCCCTGAGTTATGCACGTCCATTGAAACTAAGACCAGTTTGACTTGGAGCATCTCCGGGAAATTGAAACGGTCATCTCTTACCATCTTCGCTTTTCTTCTTTCACATATCCTGCCTTTGACCTCCCCCTTTCTTGCCTTGGCTTTAGCCGCTTTGATTTGTTTTTCGAGTTCCCAGTGCGAATGTTTCTGTTTAGAAGCCTCCCCCTGCCCACATTTATTTTTTTGGGGGGGACGCTGAGCGGCTTGTGCATGGAACGTTTTATGGTTCTGAGTGGTTCCTGGTTCCCACTTCACCTCTTGAAATAGACAACCCCCCTTCCTCTTCGGCGTTTCCAATTCAACTCGGAAGGACGCCATTCTTTCACTTTTCCGGTGTCGGATCGAGTCCGCACTTGGGCGCAGCTTGACTTTGCGCCAGATCTCCTGATACGACCGACTACGAGCACATAAATTACGATGGCCTTTTTGTTTAAATCGAAAAAGCATCAGCAGAGCCAGCAAGCGGCTGCACTCCCCCCGGTAACTAGAAATGTCCACACCTCCGAGGGTGCTCCATCCAATGGATCACCTAATATGGTGAATGGGGTCAAGGGGGATGGCACGACTTCCCAGACGCCAACCCCAAGCGGTAGCTTCAGCAACTCTCTACACTCAGCCACAAGCCCGACGAGTCCAGTCGTAGTACGGCCGCGGCAGAGAGCGGAATCGGAATCTCAGGTGAGTATCTGTTCCGTGGTCTGACCGTTGCTCTTTGACGAGGACAGAGCTCTAATGTTTATAACAGATGCAAAGACCTCAGCAACTACCCAGTGGGATCCCTCCTCCAAGCCCAAGTTCATCCCTTTACCCGTGGTCGCAACGCCGTTTGAACTTTTCTTCTCCACAAACGAACCCGTTTCCTCGCTATGGAGCAGCAATCAATTCGGTAGCATCCAAGGAAGGAGATATTTATATGATGGGAGGTCTGATCGATGGATCAACAGTCAAGGGTGATCTATGGATGATTGAAAGCAGTAGTGGGGGCTTGAACTGCCTGCAGGTTGCGACAGTATCCGAAGGTCCCGGGCCGCGAGTCGGTCATGCCAGTTTGCTCGTCGGGAATGCGTTCATTGTGTTTGGCGGTGATACCAAAATCGATGAGAATGACTCTCTGGATGACACTCTGTATCTCTTGAACACATGTAAGCGTGTCATCGATCCATTTACGTTAACCATGACTCTGACCTTCGTCTTTCTTCATTTTCTTAGCTTCCCGCCAATGGTCCCGCGCTATCCCTCCAGGCTCTCGACCTTCTGGGCGTTACGGTCACACTTTGAACATTCTAGGATCCAAACTCTACGTCTTCGGAGGCCAAGTTGAGGGCTTTTTTTTTAATGACTTGATTGCATTTGACTTGAACCAGCTTCAAAACCCAGCTAATAAATGGGAGGTTCTGATTCCAAACAGTCACGAAGGTGGACCTCCACCAGGCCAGATTCCCCCGGCAAGAACAAACCACACCATTGTTAGTTTCAACGACAAGTTATTCCTGTTTGGAGGTACGAACGGAGTGCATTGGTTCAATGATGTCTGGTCCTACGACTATATTGCCAATTGTTGGACCGAAATTGATTGCGTTGGATTTATTCCGGTTCCTAGGGAGGGCCACGCCTCTGCTTTAGTCAACGACGTGATGTATGTGTTCGGAGGTCGCACGGATGAGGGCGTGGACCTGGGTGACCTGTCAGCCTTCCGCATCTCAACCCGACGCTGGTACTCCTTCCAAAATATGGGCCCTGCGCCTTCCCCTCGATCTGGTCATAGCATGACCGCTTTTGGCAAGCAAATTATTGTTATGGCGGGCGAACCGAGCTCGGCTCCCAGAGACCCCGCGGAGCTTAGCATGTCCTACATCCTCGACACTAGCAAGATCCGGTACCCGAATGATTCGCAAGCCGGGGGTCGCGTTCCCGAGCCAGCGACCAGAAAAACGAGTGTTGATAAACCAAGCATCTCGTCTGGGCGCTCATCTCGGGAGGCGCAAAATGTCGGCCCGGATCAGCATATGCGCCGTGGGCCGGCGCCATCGCGTGAGAGTTTGACACAGGGTACGACCGCTAGTAGGCCAGGTGAGTTCGGCTCCAATCCAAATGTGGGTGCTGGATCTAGACTCCCACGGACATCAGTTGCCCAAGCCCCTGCCGGTCCACCGCCTCCTGGACAAGCACCCTCTCCTGGCCCTCGTGGCAACGGCCCTCCTGCCGGGACGAACCCTGGTAGCAAGCCTCCGACCAAGAATGATCGAGGTTACATACCAACCGTTGAAAATCGCATATCGAACGATGAGCGTGGCGAAGAATCACCAATCATGAAGGAAGGCCCACAAGATTCCCATGAACCTCCATCAGCAGGTCGCCGAACTCCAACACAACATCAAAAGCCCTCAGCCAAAGCGATGGAAGCTGGCGAAGCAGCTCCGTTGATCAGTACCCCAGGTCGACAACGGTCGCTCCGTTCTCACCGACAGCGCGCGTCCGTTGATAGCGGAGAGGAATCAATTCTCGGTCGGCAGGCTAGCATTGATGGTTCAATCGAATCTCGAGGCTTCCGCAACTCCAAGACCCTTGGTGATGAGCCACGGTCCCCTCGACTTACACCCCATCAAGAGGCGTTGATCAAAGAGCTGGAGGTCACCAAAGCCCGAAACGCCTGGTACGCCTCAGAACTCGCACTCGCAAGGAAATGTGGCTACGTCCCCAATGCGACTAGTAGCCCCGCACTAGACGACCGGGCGAATGAGACCCTGAGCGATGAGGACCGCCCGCTGCTTGAGGCCTTCTTGGCTATGAGAGCAGACCTCAACAAAATGCAGGCCACCGTGGATCGACAGGCCGCCATCGCATCTAAACGGGTTGCTGAAGTGGAACATCAACGTGATATGGCCATCAATGAAGCTGCTTATTCCCGGGCCAAGCTTGCCGCCCATGGCGGTAGTCAGCGTGGAACCCCTCAGCCTGATGCTTCTCAGGATGGAGATGACGAGCGACCTACTGACATGGGACGTCGTCTTGCTCTCGCTCTGGCCTCAATGTCGGAATTGAAAGCTAAATTGGACGCGCAAAGCACCGAACTTTCGCAGGAGCGTCAAGCCAAGGAACTTGCTGAAGAGACCAACGAGGCAACCCGGAAACGCCTGGCAGAGCTTGAGATGCAAAACAACACTTTAGAAGCCGAAAACTTGCGCGCCGAGCTTCACCAAGCGGAGGCTCTCTCCAGAGAAGAGGCCTTCTTGCGTGCGGAAGCCGAAGCCTCGCTCCAACAACTCGTCCTGGACAAAGAAGAGTTGTTGGCACAGATTGAGGATTCCTCGACCCGCCTCAAGGGCTTTGAGTCCAGCTTTAGTAGTCTCCGAGAAGCTGTTTCTGCCTCCGCCGCGAAGACAGCCCTCGTTGAGAAGCAATTCCAAGAGGAGCGAGAACGTCGCGAAGGTCTAGAGAGAAAGCTTCTGCAGCTCCGATCGGAGCACGAACAACGTTCTAGCGAAGTGGAAAATCTTACTCGTCGCCTTCGAGATGCAGAGGAGTTGGCCAAAATCCACGCAAAGGAAGCCGAAACTCACAAAATTGCCTTCGTATCTGGGCTGGAACGCGCTTCTTCCACAGATTTGGATCATTCGTTCCGAACTCGCGCTGATCAGCGAGTCGCTGCTTTGGAGGCCCAAATCGAGCGATCGACCACTCTGGCTAAAGCAAACCAGGCAGCCGCGAACGCGGCGTCAGACAAACTCCGCCGTGCAGAGGAACGGATTGCTGGTCTAGAAGCATACCAGGAACAGGCTAGCCGCGAAGGCTTGCAATTGCGTAGACAGCTTCAGACTGCGATGAAAGAAAGCCAGTCAGCCGCCACGACCAATCGTGACCTGAAGGCTCAACTTGAGACTCACCAGCGAGAGGCTGGGGCTCTGGCGGTTCAGCACGCCGCTTTGAAGGATCTTCTTGGCGAGCGTGGAATCAATGGCGACAATGGACGTTCGCCGCGACTTGACTTCCCGGGATCACGATTTGGGACCCCGGAGCAAAGCCGGCTACGCGAGCTTGAGCAACAGCTCTCGGCTAGCATCAAGGCTCATGACGACCTGAAGAACGGCTTCGAAAGTCGTGAGCAGGAAGCTGATCGAGCTTTCCGAGAAAAACTTGAGCAGCTTGAGAATGATTACCAGTCAGCTGTTCATTACGTGAAAGGAACAGAGAAGATGTTGAAGCGCATGAAAGATGAGCTGAGTCGATACAAGACTCAGAATGCCAAAATGCAATCTGAATTAGATATGGCCCAGAAGAGTCTCGGGAATTCAGACAGCCGGACACCTGGATCTTCCGCTGAGTGGGACGCTGAACGGTCCCGTCTCGAGCTGTCGATGTCGGATCTCCAGGATCGAACTTCATCTTCTATCAGCAGCCTTGAAAGCCAAATCACGCAGCTCAGGCAAGATCTTGATCAGGCTACGGCTGAGAAACAGTTGTCACGAATTGAACAGGAGCGTCTTAAGCAAGATCTACTCAACGCCGCTGCGAAAAGTCGTGCCGAGCTCGACCAGCTCAAGCAAGAAAATACCCACCTTGAAATTCGTGCATCGGATGCAGAGCGTAAGGTCAACATGCTTCTGGAGCAGGTTCAAACATCTGTTGGTCATTACCGTCGTCAATCTCACCACGGGCAAGGTGCCAACGGAATCTCACGTACACACAGCAACGCCTCTAGCAGTAACACCATCAACGGAGGCAATGGGCGGGCACGAGCCGATAGCAATGCCTCGCAGGACTCTGCGTTCCCTGACAACCGTGGTTCGATGGCTCTGGACTCACTTGCCAACGAGTTGGACGCTTTGCGCAGTCACTGGGAAAGCACCAACCGCAATTACCGTCTCAGCAACCAGCTGGATCTGGAGCAGACTCCCACGAAGGATAATAGTGACGGACCCGCCCTAATGAGTGGTAGTTTGGCAGAATGGAGGAGGAGACTGGACGAGAATGACCGGGCTGGGTTTGATGTGCAAACCAACTCTTTGAAAACTGGAGCTGCACCCCCTGAACACTCTAATTTGTTCTAAATATCTGACTCTCCATTGCTGTATCATGACCACGAGCCCTAAGATCTGTCAATTTGCACCGTCTGAGCGTTCTGTACGTGTATTTGCAACCCTTGTTCCTTTCTTTCTCGTTGTCTTGTTCATGTATGATGTCTGCTTTCATTTTCTGTGTTACTCTATGCCGACGCATAGTGTTATTTTCTGATTCCGTTTCGCCACTGTGCTCCTGGGTTTCTCTCTTTCCTG